CTGCAGCTCATCCAGAATGCAGCGGCTCGTCTGGTCTTCAACCTTCCTAAATTCTCCCACACCACTCCGCTCCTCCGCTCCCTCCACTGGCTTCCGGTAACTGCTAGAATCCACTTCAAGACACTGGTACTTGCTTACCATGCTGCGAGTGGATCTGGCCCTTCGTACATCCAGGACATGGTTAAACTGTACACCCCAGCGCGTGCACTACGCTCTGCATCAGCCAAACGACTCGCTGCACCCTCGCTGCGAGAGGGACCCAAGTTCCCATCGGCGAAAACACGTGGGTTTGCTATCCTGGCTCCAAGATGGTGGAATGAGCTCCCCATTGACATCAGGACGGCAGATAGCTTGCACATCTTCCGGCGCAAACTGAAAACTCATCTCTTTCGACTCCACTTCGAGCGATAGAACTATTAACGAAGCACTTTTATACTAATAAAGGACTGGCTTATCTAAAGCCAGTTGAGTAGCACTTGAAATGTTTTTGCTCTATGAAGCCTGATGTACTTATATGATTCTGTTTTCTTCAAGTTGTATTTTGTTGGTCGAACGCACTTATTGTAAGTCGCTTTGGATAAAAGCGTCAGCTAAATGTAATGTAATGTTCGGCACATGCAGTCACACGGCGAATACGCCTTTTTTTACGAGTGGGAAAAAAGTCTGTCACTCAGGGCAGTATTACACTATATATAATCCAGGGGGCGGTATTGCGCCTAAAAGCCAGCCGCCCGTAAATAACAAATGAAGAACAAAACACAACAAAACGAACAAAATACATGAAGAAGAAAAGTTAGTAGCTACGGCGAGTTCACACAACACACAGGAGCTAGAAGACCCACCTGCTTCTTTTAAATCAGGTGTGTGGGAACATTTCGGGTTCCCTGTGGACTACAACAATGATGGGGTGCGAGTTGTGGATCAGACGAGGACGGTGTGTCGGCGTTGTTCGACAGCGGTGCGGTATGCTGGTGGTAATACGTCAAACATGCTCAATCACATCCGAGTCAGTCTGGAGCGTCCACACAGCAGCGTGCGTTGACGCTTGGAGGTGGGCGTATCTGAAGCTTGGGGATTTTTTGCGACCAACAACCAATCACATGAATCTCCCGCCCCCGACATACAAAGCAATAGCAATGTTAAAACGAAGTAAACTGAATATAAAATCCCCAAACAGGCGAAAACCTACCAGTTTCACCCACTGTCTCTGCCTCCTCCCTCCATGCCTCGCTCCTCCGGTTTGTATCCCGGTAGATCAACAGAGACTGATCATACAGCACCGGGTGATTCACTACCGCTATAATGAATTTTCCCTCCATTTTTTTGAATATGAGGAAATGACCTGCGTAGTCTCTCCCAGCATACACGCGGTTTGATTCGCTAGTGCTTGTACTGGCAGATTTGCATAAACGGGATTTCATTGGCTGACGCCTCCGTCGAGGCGTCAAAAGTTGAACATTGCTCAACTTTTGACGCGAGCAACGCCAGCAACGCTCCACGTCGCTTCCCAAAATGCAGTTTGGCTAAAAGTGACGTCACCCCATTCAAAGTCAATGGGCAGAAGCGTTGGAAGCTTCAACGCACGCCGCTGTGTGGACGGGCCGTCAGTCCCCAGCGAGAGGCTTTTCTCGACGGCAGGTGACATAGTTACCGCCAACAGATCTGCCCTCACTGCTGACAACGTAGACAAACTCATCTTTTTGAAGAAAAACTTGAAAATAGAGTAAAGCTTGAGTACCTTTATTTAGGCATAATGGCCTCACACACTCACAAGTTAATTACACATGTTAGACATTGCTCCTGAAGGTACAGATTTTATTTTGTTTTATATTTATCATTGTATTTATTTTATATATTGAATCAGGAGATGTTATACAGTTCTGTATTGCCTTTTATTGATTGTGATTGAAACACTTTCTTATTATTTATTTTAACATTTTCAAGACATTCTTTTTAGTTGTACAGCTTTTAGTTTGACATCAGCCATTATAAATAATATGGCCATCTGCGTGTTACTGTTTGTGGTTTGTTTTTAACTGTGTAATACAGTTAATGATTCCAAATGTTAGAGTTCCTTATTTTCATAGAAAAACTTGCACTACTGTTAAAAATAAATAACAGCAAAAACAATTATGCGTTTGGAACTTTTTTTTGCTTTTCCTTGTTTTACCGAACCCGTACCGAACCGTGACTTCTGTGAACCGTTACACCCCTAGTCCCCGGTGTGTCGGGGAACTCACGCAGCGTCAGAAAATAAAACCCCCTCTCTTTTCCTCCGTACCCAAACCTCTAAAAACGGGGAACAACGGAGCTGATCCAGATTTGCGTCCGATATGACGTAATATCTGAAATGTGGACCCACGGCCCAATCAGAAACGTTGCTATCAGAATCAATGCCCGACTGTTTTGGAAGTAATATGGTCGGTGTTTACATTAGCATCGCTAACACTCAGAGCTAACCTGTACTGGAGAGCATGTGTGTGAAGAAGCAGGAAGTAAAAAGGAACTCACCTTGTGGTATAACCGGCAAGTGAGAAATAATAATAATAATAATAATGCATTTTATTTATATAGCGCTTTTCACAACTCAAAGACGCTTTACAGTATGAGGGAGGGTAGACAAACAAGGACAGGCAAACAACTAAGTAAAAAATAAAAAGGCAGTCAAGAGGAAGTTGATTGAGAGGGGGGGGGGGGCTTATGGGTAGACAGAGTTGAAAAGATGTGTTTTGAGGCAGGACTGAAAGACTGTGAGGGACTCAGAGTCACGGAGATCTTGGGGGGAGGGAATTCCAGAGCCTAGGAGCTGCCACTGAGAAGGCTCTGTCCCCAAAGCTGCAGAGTGTGGATGTGGGAATGGATAGGAGTCCGGCTGCGGTGGATCTGAGGGACCGTGGAGGTTGATAAGGAGTGAGAAGGTTTGTGAGATAAGGGGGGCCAGATGGTGGAGGGCTTTGTAGGTGAGGACCAGAATTTTGTAGTTGATGCGATGGGAGACAGGAAGCCAGTGGAGGTCTTTGAGGACTGGGGTGATGTGATGCCATGATTTGGTATGCGTGAGGAGACGTGCAGCTGCATTTTGAACCCGTTGGAGTCTGTTGAGGGATGTAGTGCTGATGCCGTAAAGAAGTGAGTTGCAGTAGTCGAGGCGGGAGGAAATGAAGGCATGGATTAGTCGTTCGGCTGCGGGGCGGGTGAGAGAGGGTAGGATTTTTGCAATATTGCGGAGGTGGAAAAATGAGGTTTTGGCGGATGTGAGGTTCGAGGGAGAGGGTGGGGTCAAAGATTACGCCAAGGTTGCGTGCCTGATTGGAGGGGGAAACAATGGTGCCATCGATGGTGAGAGTTATGTTAGTGACCTTGCTGAGGGTGGATTTGGAGCCGATTAGGAGGAGTTCTGTTTTGTTGCTGTTCAGTTTGAGGAGGTTATGTTGCATCCAAGTTTTAATAGCTGTCAAACAGGAATCGATGTGGGTAAGGAGTGGGTCATGGAGGGATTTGGTGCTGAGGTAGATCTGAGTGTCATCAGCATAATTAATAATAATAATTCCTTACATTTATTATAGCGCTTTTTCAATGACTCAAAGCGCTTTACATATACACACATTACACATATATCATACATGCAATGGTCAGATACTGTGGACAATACCCACAGGAGCAAGTTCAGGTGAAGTGTCTTGCCCAAGGACACACCGGCTTTACAGACGCAGCAGCGGCGGGTTTCACCCCTTGATCTGATGATCATTGCACAGCGCACTGCGCCACACCGTCCATCTTCACGCCTCGAGGTCATCGAGGCGCTTTTACAAGTATACATTGGTATTATACATGTACTGTGGACATTACCCACAGGAGCAAATCCGGGTGAAGTGTCTTGCCCAAGGACACAACGGCCTGACGCAGTGGCGGCAGGAGCGGGTTTCGAACTGGAGTTCCCCAGCACCCCCCTTGATCTGATGATCGGATGCACAGACCACTGCGCCACCCGTCCCAAAGTGGATAGCATAGCAGTGGAAGTCGAGGTTGAAGTGGCGGAGTATCTGACCGAGGGGGAGGATGTAAATGATGAAGAGGAGGGGGCCAAGTACTGATCCTTGAGGAACGCCTTGGGTGACTGAAGCTGTGGCAGAGGAGTGGTTTGGGAGGGAGATGAAGTGGGATCGTTCAGTGAGGTAGGACTGGAGCCATCTGAGTGCAATACCTTCAATACCAATGTCCCTGAGTCGGGTGAGCAGGATGTTGTGGCTCACGGTATCGAAGGCTGCACTCAGGTCGAGGAGGATGAAAATATTGAGGGAACCAGTGTCAGCAGAGGTGAGGAGGTCATTGAGGACTTTGACTTTGACGAGTGCAGTTTCTGGTGAGGACGAAATCCAGACTGAAGGGGTTCATAAAGCTGGTTGGTTTGGAGATGGCAGTGAATTTGTTTGGCTACAATGCGTTCAAGAGTTTTTGAGAGGAATGGTAGGTTGGAGATGGGGCGGTAATTAGTGAGGGAGGAGGGATCAAGACCAGGTTTTTTGAGGATTGGTGTAACGGCAGCAGTTTTGAAGGCAGAGGGGACGGTTCCATGGGACAGCGAGGAGTTGAAAAGGTTGAAAAGCCTTTGTCAGAAAGCCTTTGAGCTCCAAACTGTTTCAGAGAGAATCCTTGATAATCCATGATATGGCGTTTCATCACGGCAGCATTTAGTTTAGACAGTAGCTGCCGGGTCCCACATGAGCTCAGACCCCTCCTTTTTTATTTTAAAGCTTTATCCCCCAAATCAGCACTTTTGAAACAGGAAGTGAAATAGAGGGATATGAGGCATGGCTAGAATGGGAGATCTGTTTGGTATTTTGAGCAAAACACTTCATAGACATGTTTTGTATATATTTGTATATATCTGAGACCTATGCTATTGCCTACAAATAGCATGATAGGTGACCTTTAACATGTCTCTGGTCTGGTTGAAGATCTAATGCTTCCTATTTATTTGTGTCTTTCTTTGTCCACAGTGTGAAGTCGGTGCAGCAGCAGGATGCGGGTCAGTACTGGTGTGAAGTCGAGTCCAACGACCTGACGTTCTCCTCTGAACACGCCTGGATCACAGTGGAAGGTGAGGACCCTGAACGCACCACCTGTGTGTCTAATTACAGCATTTGAAGTCTCCTATTATCCTGCTTCTGTTTTAAACCTGCAAGTGTGTGTGTGTGTTTTCATTCGCTGTGCCGTGACCCTGAACACATCGCCATGATTATTCCTCAGTCTGATCTTCTTCCCGCCCCCTCCAGGTGTTCCTCACTTCGTCCAGGAGCCGCAGGACGTGGCGACGTTCCCAAACGTTCCCTTCAACCTCACCTGTGACGCGGTGGGCCCCCCCGAGCCGGTGGAGGTGTTGTGGTGGCTGGGGGGGGAGCAGGAGGGAGAGCCCAGACCCTCACCCTCTATCCTCCATGTACCAGGTCAGAAACACTCCTGATTTAAAGTGTTTTTAAAACATGTGACTGTGGCAGTGGCTGAGTCAGTAGGGGCTTGGACTGTGAGCCGTAGGGTCGCCGGTTCAAGTCCCCAAACAGACCTGAATGTGGACTGCTACTTGGAGAGGTCCCAGTTCACCTCCTGGGCCCTGCCGTGGTGCCCTTGAGCACAGGTGCAATAGCTGCCCACTGCTCCTAGTAATAGGATGGGTCGAAAGCAGTGTGCTCTGCATGTGTGACGAATAAAGAGGGTTTCATTCCTCCAATTCTATCTTTACTAGGCAGTGACGCCCTAATGTATGACTCTAACAAGGTGCATTGTGGGAAATGTAGGATCCAAAACAACTTACAAGAAGTAATAATAGCAATAATTAGGGCAAATTATGTTGTGGTCCTATCCTGGTAAAATTAAAATAAGCTGATAGAAGTGACTACGTGAAACCTGATCAGTGTTAAATATTCCCTCTCTGATCCATAACTTACTCAAAGACCTGAATACAATCCGGCTTCAGCCTCCCATCACTCACAGTCTTTAGAGAATGGGATATTTCCTCATTATGCAGTAGTTATGAACACACTCACTCACTCACTCTCTGACACACACACAGCTTGTGGAGGTGTGTGAGTCAGATGCATGGGAGTGCTGGATTTAACCCAAAGGTCAGTCCTGACGGGTGGAGCTGACATCAGCGTTACAGAGTCGTTATTATGTGACTTTTCTAAACCATTATGTCATCCTCGTTGAGTTGAAGACTTGGAGAAAAATGATGGTTTTGTTGTTTTTTACCTGAAGAGAGGAGAACAAGAGGAGATTACAGTCAAGTTTGAGCCATATGTTGAATATATTCAACCTTGAGACCAACAACTGGTGATTGCTGATGTGTGTCACGTGTGGGGACTGGCTTATGGGGACAAATTGGAGGTCCCCATGGGGGGAATCATTAATTTTAGGGTGAAGACTTGGTTAGGGTTAGGCATGTGTTGGTTATGGTTATGGTTAGGATAAGTCTCCAAGAAATTCATGTAAGTCAATGTAATGTCCCCTGAAGTCATGTATACATGGTGTGTGTGTGTGTGTGGACTTTACACACTGTATTTTCCAATGTCTCTCTCTCTACTTGCTGAGCAGCTCTTAGCTCTAATATGCGGAGTAAGCCCATTAAATTAGCAAAATATTTAATTAATGACGTAAAAAAGAACTGGCCGTATACAATAAAGTACAACAAAGAAGAAACATAAATAAGAGTTCAACTGAAACGAGTGCTGTATTTACACCATGCACCTTTAAAGATTGTGCTTCATCTACCTTGGAGTGTGTCTACAAATTGAGTTTAACAATGATGCATTTCACTCTCCGACATCACCATCTAAACTGACAGGAAGTAAGGACGAAAACTACCAAAATAAGAGCCTGCAAGGGTAGTGTGTGTGTGTGTGTGTGTGTGTGTGTGTGTGTGTGTTGTGTGTGTGTGTGTGTGTGTGTGTGTGTGTGTGTGTGTGTGTGTGTGTGTGTGTGTGTGTGTGTGTGTGTGTGTGTGTGTGGTGTGTGTGTGTGTGTGTGTGTGTGTGTGTGTGTGTTGGTGTGTGTGTGTGTGTGTGTGTGTGTGTGTGTGTGTGTGTGTGTGTGTGTGTGTGTGTGTGTGTGTGTGTGTGTGTGTGTGTGTGTGTGTGTGTGTGTGTGTGTGTGTGTGTGTGTGTGTGTGTGTGTGTGTGTGTGTGTTCTACCAAGGTGCATTATGGGAAATGTAGGATCCAGTGTTTCATATCTGCAGCTTGGATTTTGACACTTCTGGTTTTGATGGGTCTCTGCAATGCCATGTAATTTCTCTAAATACAATTATAAGATTATTAATCTAATGTGCAGCATGAACACACACACACACACACACACACACACACACACACACACACGCTCCACAATATTGATTTTCTATAAATAGAAGAACATCAGCTCGTCTGCTGCCGTTTGGAGGATCCTCTCACATACAGGCGGTTACTGGAAACACACACACACACACACACACACACACACACACACACACACACACACACACACACACACACGTTTCCGCTCAGTGAGGCGTGTTGTATTCCAGGAATCTTAAAGGATAATAATTCACCTCTGAGTTAAAGTGATCTCAGGTATTGATCATCAGTGAGCGTCAAATGGAGCAGCGCCTCGTACAGAATATGAATGAACGTGGAACGGGTCAAGGATATAAACGCCAGGTAGTAAAGAACAGACATAACGTTAAAAACTAAGGAGATGTAAAGTAATAACCCCAAAGTAAAAGCATTCAAATGTATGGCTGCACACTTTGTAACTGATATTGCACTTCCAATACAGAAGGGACGGACAGGTAGCGCATGTATTGAAATGAATATTGAAATGATTGTGGTCTGATTTTATAGGCATGAACAACAGTGTGAAGTTTTACTGTGAAGCGAAGAACACCAGAGGAATCTCCGTCTCCAGAACCGGAACCGTTCACATTAAAGGTGAGAACACTGTTTACAGAAACATCGATATAACATGATCTTGTATAACTCTAAAGGTGAGCTTTAAAACAGATGTTCTCTCTACCTGTAGTGGTTGTTTTGTTTTCCTCTATGATTGCTCGGTTTTCTGTGGGAGGACTCCTTTGTTTACTTCCTGAACACTTGCGCTTCTATTGGCTAGCGCTCCAACACATTGTACGTGATAGGCTAAGGGGCGGGACATCTCTAAGTGGTTGACCAATCACAACAGAGCCGGCCAGCTAACCAATCAGAGCAAACTGGGCTCTGGTTTCAGACGGAGGGTGAAAAGAGGTGCTGCAGCACAGGCAGTATGAGAACAATAAAGAGCTTTTTGAACATTAAAGCATGGAGACACTACATACTGATATACACCTGAACATCAGGAGAGGACTCTTTAAAGTAGAGACACTACATCAGGGATCACCAACTACATTTGTCCAAGGGCCAAAATGTATCCAATAGACACTATCGCGGGCCAGCGATTTTTATATAGCCCAACATTTTGAAGTTGTTGACCGGGACACACACACACACCCCGCATAAAGCTTAGCAGACTTCTAGGCAGGGTTACTTTGTAAATGTAATCAGTTACTGAATACAGAATACATGCTCTGAAAGTAATCAGAATACAGTTACAGTTACGTGTCTTAAAAAACGTATTCAGATTACTTTTAGAATACTGTCTTTTTCCATAACAGATGGGTATGTTTTGGTGAACAGGAGACACTTGTTTTACTGTTTTAATGGCTTATCAAGAACTCAAACACAACATCTTGGTGTCATTCTGGACAGCTCTCTCATCTGCACCCCACATAAAACACATCACCCGGACTGCATTCTTTGTACTGTCTTAAAACCTTTCCTTAGAATATGTTATGAATTGTAAGGTGTCCTTGGTGCTTTGAAAGGCGCCCCTAAATAGAATGAATTATCATTATTATTTATTATCTGAAACGATGTTATAACTTTTAAAACGTTTTCCAGTCACTTGACCCATGCATTCAGCAGCAGCAGGCCATTCACTTTGATTTGATCCCGTTATAAATGTCATCATTTCGACAATAAAGAAATGCTACATAAACGTTATCTTGCACATTTGATCGAACCATCTCCGTTTCTAACTTTCAATATATTTAAAAAGAGATCTCTCTCTCATCTGCGTGCGGGGGCGGGGCCTCAGACACGCTGCATCTCTCTCTCGCTCACAGACATGCTGCAGCGCTGTGCAGTGTGCACACCAGTGGCGGCGCTAGGGGGTGGCTACTTGGGCTCAAGCCCCGGATGATTTCTGAAAAGCCCCGGATGTTTCACTTAAAAAAAAAAAAAAATTCAAAAAGATTTTTTTTTTGTTGAAAATGTCTCGGGAGTAATGTGCAGTACCGGAGTCCACCAGAGAGGCAGCCGCTGCGGGACATTAGCCTGCGTACTGCGTAGCCTTCCCTGCCCTGAAGAAGAAGTGATCCTTCCTAGTGCCTGAAGAGTTTTAAGCTAATAGCCTATAAAGTTATGGATATTAGAAAGTTATTTTCATCGAAGCAGGCGCCACAGTATCAGCAGATGACAACAATGTCATCACCAGCAGTGTCCCGCAGCTCCTGCCTCTTTGTTGGACTCTGTCGCAGCGGGGCTACTGCTGTGGTGCGGAGCGCACAAAACACAACCCTTCACAACGAAGGATCACTTCTTCTTCAAGGCAGGGAAGGTTTCGCAGTACGCAGTCTACTGTCCCGCAGCTGCTGCCTCTCTGTTGGACTCCGATACTGCACACAGTGGTTACTGCTCCGCCAACGCCACAGTCACCCCCGTCGTGCGGGCCGGATGAGAATGTCTGGCGGGCCGGATGTGGCCCGCGGGCCGCCAGTTGGTGGTCACTGCACTACATACTGATATACAGCTGAGCATCAGCAGGACAGGACTCTTTAAAGTAGAGACACTACATACTGATATACACCTGAACATTAGCAGGAGAGAACTCTTTAAAGTAGAGACACTACATACTGATATACACCTGAACATCAGTAGGAGAGGACTCTTTAAAGTAGAGACACTACATACTGATATACAGCTGAGCATCAGCAGGAGAGGACTCTTTAAAGTAGAGACACTACATACTGATATACACCTGAACATCAGCAGGAGAGAACTCTTTAAAGTAGAGACACTACATACTGATATACAGCTGAGCATCAGCAGGAGAGGACTCTTTAAAGTAGAGACACTACATACTGATATACACCTGAACATCAGCAGGAGAGAACTCTTTAAAGTAGAGACACTACATACTGATATACAGCTGAGCATCAGCAGGAGAGGACTCTTTAAAGTAGAGACACTACATACTGATATACACCTGAACATCAGCAGGAGAGGACTCTTTAAAGTAGAGACACTACATACTGATATACACCTGAACCTCAGCAGGAGAGGACTCTTTAAAGTAGAGACACTACATACTGATATACACCTGAACATCAGCAGGAGAGGACTCTTTAAAGTAGAGACACTACATTACTGATATACACCTGAACATCAGCAGGAGAGGACTCTTTAAAGTAGAGACACTACCATACTGATATACACCTGAACATCAGCAGGAGAGGACTCTTTAAAGTAGAGACACTACATACTGATATACACCTGAACCTCAGCAGGAGAGGACTCTTTAAAGTAGAGACACTACATACTGATATACACCTGATCATCAGCAGGAGAGGACTCTTTAAAGTAGAGACACTACATACTGATATACACCTGAACATCAGCAGGAGAGGACTCTTTAAAGTAGAGACACTACATACTGATATACACCTGAACATCAGCAGGAGAGGACTCTTTAAAGTAGATACACTACATACTGATATACACCTGATTATCAGCAGGAGAGGACTCTTTAAAGTAGAGACACTACATACTGATATACACCTGAACATCATCAGGAGAGGACTCTTTAAAGTAGAGACACTACATACTGATATACAGCTGAGCATCAGCAGGAGAGGACTCTTTAAAGTAGGCACACTAAATACTGATATGAAGTACAATTACTTCACATTAAAGCACATTAATCAGCCTTTGTGCTACAAATCCAATAAAGTAAATATTGGAAGAATAACCAAACAAAACGTTCTGTTTACTTGACCCTTATCACACTCAGAATATGTCATATATTTGACTAATAGTGGAATATTAGTATGCAATGTAAACAGAATCACTGACACACCTGTTGTCACATGTTCTCTGTATCTGAGCTGTGATTGGCTGATGAGTCTCTTTCTCTCAGTGTTGCCGGCGGCGCCCTCTGGACTGCAGGTCCTCAGGATGGAGGACAACAACGTCACGTTGGCATGGAAACCGGGATTCAATGGACACTCTGAGCTGACAACCTGCGTCGTCCAGGTAACACACACACACACACACACACACACACACACACACACACACACTTAAAAACGAATTAGAATATCACAAGTCTCTAGATTAAACTCTTTGTCAACTCTTATTGGTAGTTCAGTCCTTCCTTCCTGTCAGGTCTAGATGATTAATTACACACACACACGCACGCACGCACACACACACAGAAGGCTAATCAAACACTAATATGTCGCTACCCTCCTCCCCCTCCCCCCAGCTGTCCAGGCGCTCGGTGAGGAGGTGGGATCTCCCCCAGCAGGAGGTCCAGGTTCCTCCTCACCTGCACGTCCTCTCGGCTCTGAGGAGCCATCAGAACTACAGCGTGAGGCTCTCCTGTCTGAACGAGGTGGGGGTGTCGCCTTTCTGCCCCTGGATCCACTTCCAGACCCCGGAGTCAGGTGAGAGATGTTAGGAAGCATCTTTTCTAATACTACTAACCGCTTTAAAGGGGCCCTGTTCTGCTTTGGGGGTTTTCCCTTTCCTGTAGTGTAGTATTTAGTGCATGTAAATGGTCTGCAAAGACTAAAATCCCTGTGTTCCCTCCAGGGGGAGATTATTTCCCACACATTCCCGCCTCCCTGCCTGAAACACCTCCATAGGACTCCTTTGTTTACTCCAGGAGGTGTTGACCAATCACATTACAGCACAGGCAGCATGAGAACATGAAGACCTTTTTGAACATTACATATTGTAAACATGACACAGTGGAGACACCAAATACTGATATGAACCTGAAAGTGAGCAGAATATGTCCTCTTCAAAGTAAAACAATGTTTGGATTTAAATCTGCTCAAAGATTGTACGTTTAAGGGTCTCTTTTAGTATACTTTGCATCTCCTAGTTGCCGTTTTGTTCCCATTTTTGGTGGTTTTACATCAACGTCAACAACAGTAGCTATTTTGTGTCTCGTGTGGAAGGTTTTGAAGCCACTAGTTTTAGTTTTGTCTCTTTTTGCATCTCTTTTCTGGTTTGTTAGCATCTCTGTGTGACCTCCAAACACCTACAAGTTGTTAACATATACATTAACTGAATCAAACAGAAAGCATGACACCTCTTATAGGAATGTGGCAGAGAGATTCTGCTGTCGGCTGGTTTCCTGTTTTCTCTGAGCTTTAGCAGTTGGTCGCTGAGAGCGGGCTTGTTGTTTGTGTTGTGTATTTGTTTGTGTGTGTGTGAATGTGTGTGTTTGTGTGTGTGTGTTTGTGTGTGTGTGTGTGTGTGTGAGGTCCAGCTGGATGGTTTCCAGTAGATTCCAGTCCTCTCCTGTACAATCAGCTTTTGTGTGTGGCCTAAATCCATATGAAAGGCCTCTCTGCAGGCTGTCTCTCTGCAGCGCCCCCTGCAGGCTGCAGAGAGACACACACTGACCTCAGATCACCAGGGGCGGAAAGTAACTAAGTCCATTTACTCAAGTACTGTACTTAAGTTTAAATGTCCCAAGTCCATTAATCAATTAGTGGATGGAGGGGAAATTAATTGGAAACTATTTTAATGTTTTTTTTCAGATTTGTTGCTTTTACTGTAAACCCTCTGGAGTCAGCGCCCACAGATCTGCGTGGAAGTGCACATATTTTTCGTATTTAATCATCTTTTCGATTATTAGGAGTAGAAATATGATTGAAGATTTCCTAAATCGGATGTCAAATGTGCAGCTTTAGATCTAATCAACTAATCACACTGTGCTTTAAGGTGAGTGACTTGCATTTCTAGCAAGACCAGAGATTGTCCTGAACATTTTGATATGTAACACATGGGGTGCTGTGTTAACAAGTACATTTTTAAAAGGTGATTTAAGGAGAAATCTAAAAATCTAGAAAATACCCTTACCCCCTGATCCCACCGGAAGCGTCTGCGCTGCGGCTGTGCCGCGCTGCGCCGCGACCTCCTCCTGCGTCCTAACCCACCAGGCGCGTTTCAAAACGTTGCGGAAGCGGAGCGTCGTGTGTGCAGCCTCGCCAGTAGACCTGACCTCGCCAGTAGAAGCTGCTGGGAGTCCCAGCAGCTTCTACTGAAGCCAGTCCCCAACTCCGGGGACTTCCGGCCGGGGACTTTGGGCGGCAGTATACGCCGTGAAGTGGTTTGCGGCCTGCCAGTAAACCCAAAGCAGAAGAAGAAGAAGTGACGTCAGCGGCTTCATTTGCCTAATCCTCCCCCAGGGACTTTTTCCAGTGTGAACGCGATCTGTACTTAGTTCATGCGAACTAAAGAGTTCTCATGAACTAAGTTCACATGAACCTTTGTGGGAAAAGTACCGCAGTGTGAATGCGCCTAATAACTGTTATGTATCAGTATTTAGTTTCAGGTATGGACAGTTTTTGGGAAGAAAACTAACATTTTGAAGGTTCTGGGTTATTGTGACAGCATTTCTCACTATTTGTACAAAAAGATTAAATATATAGATTACATTAATCCAGAACATTGGTCGGTACAAAGAAACGTTCATTTAGTTAGTTCAGTCTTTAAAACCAAGTTGGAAGGTGTTTTAATACCTTCAGATTTGTTGCTTTTACTATTTGACTGTTTGAATGTTAATAACTGTTTAGTAATTTAGAGGTCTGGACAGTTTTTTGAAGGTGTTGTGCTCTGGGTTATTGACAGCATTTGTCACTATGTTTACATATTACATTATATATAGATTACATTCATTCAGAAAATTGCTCCGTACAAAGAAACGTTCATTTAGTTAGTTCAGTCTTTAAAACCAAGTTGGAAGGTGTTTCTCAGATTGTGTTTTCCCCAAACTGTGAGGACTCTCAGACTCTGATGCTGTTGGTCATCAGTGAGCATTCAGACCCTGCAGAGCACGCTTCATGATAATCACTGTAATCTATCTGATAATAATGATATATCATCCCGCCCTCAGTGCCGTCGGCGGCCCCCAGGAACCTGACGTTCGAGCTGTCGGAGCAGCAGCTGGCTCTCAGCTGGGCGGCGCTGCAGGAGGAGCAGCTGCAGGGACGTCTGATCGCATACAAGCTGCAGTGGACCAGAGGAGGGGAGCCTCAGGTGGGGGGTCTCTCAGAGCTTCCATTACATTTATACCGGAAGCAGGGACGGTTAATGGTAAAAAACAAGACTTTCATTCAGTTAAAAAACACACGTACCAGATTCTCTATTCTATAAGGGGGGACGCAATAATGTTTAAAAACAAGGTTTACTGTTTATTAATGAAATTAAATAAGGACTTTTCATTGACAAAACATATTTTAAGGGTAGGGCTGTTTTTGAAACTGATCGCCTACAAGCTGCAGGTCTCAGGTCTGTCAGCACATCCATTACATTTACACAGGACATACACATTATTTATCTCATATCATATTCCATTTACTTGTATATATACTTTCTTTGCACTATTTCTATTCTATTTGATCTGTTTTTACTTGCACTATTATCTGTTTTATTGTGTTGCTCTGTTGGAGGAGCCTGTGACCTCAGATTTCCATTGACATGTATACGCTGTAGCTCTGCACACATGACCAATACAAGCCTGGAGTCTTGGAAGGGCAAAAAACATACTTTAATTTAGTTTAAAATACGTACCAAATTCTCTATTCTATAAGGAGAGACGCAATAATGTTTAAAAACAGGATTTATACTGTTTATTAATTCTAATTAAAAATAAGCATGAGGACTACAGCAGCATAAATAAAACAATTTTTCATTGACTAAAAAAATACTAAAATATTTTAACGGTAGGGTTTAAAAACAAAAAAGGTATATAACAAAAATGTCTATACTTGTAGTCAACTAAAACTTTATTAAGAGAACACTGACTTGACTTTGTTTAAAATATATTTTCTACTTTTGTGTGTGTGTGTGGGTGTGTGTGTGTGTGTGTGTGTGTGTGTGTGTGTGTGTGTGTGTGTGTGTGTGGTGTGTGTGTGTGTGTGTGTGTGTGTGTGTGTGTGTGTGTGTGTGTGTGTGTGTGTGTGTGTGTGTGTGTGTGTGTGTGTGTGTGTGTGTGTGTGTGTGTGTGTGTGTGTGTGTGTGTGTGTGTGTGTGTGTGTGTGTGTGTGTGTGTGTGTGTGTGTGTGTGTGTGTGTGTGTGTGTGTGTGTGTGACTTGCCTGACTTGCCTACGAATCTTAATGAGCATTTTTGATCAACGCCTGCACTTTTACTTCATTTATTTTAAACTGATGTTCACCACTTAACTTATCAGCAGGTCACCCTTGAAAAAGAGATCAATGATCTGATCCACCTGCATAAATAAAGGTTTGAAATCAAATAAATAATCACAACATTTGTCATATTATATTTAATTACAAAAATAAGGAAAAATACATTTGATACATTTTAATAAACGTGTTATTCGTAAAAAAAAAGAAATACTGGCAAAATGAAAACTAAATCTGTGTTTTCAGTATCTCATCACATGACATGCATTTTTGATCTTTGTTTAATATGCATGCTTCCTAGTTAACATTAAGCTGTCTTTGGCTCTTTGTTTTCAAGATTCAAGTCTTTTATTGGCATGTGTGCAGAGCTACATATCTGAGGTCACAGGCTCCTCCAACAGAGCAATAACACCGATAACATAGTGCAAGTAAATACAAATAACATAGAATCGAAATAGTGCAAAGAGAGTCTATATACAAGTTTTTGGAATATGATATATTAGATAAATAGTTGTTGTTTTTGAAGTTGCAACAGTTGAATGTTATGGTTGTTTTCTGCTGTAACTATGCAAACATCCCCTCTGTGGGACGAGCAGAGGTTTTCTGACCGGATGCTCTTCTGCAGGAGCCTCTGCTGTTTAAGGAGAACTCGGCTCTGCTCTCAGGTGGAGGTCGTTTCTTCAACGCCTCCTTCCAGGTGTCGGCCTGCACGGCGGTGGGCTGCGGACCCTGGAGCCCCCCGGTGCTGGTGCTGCCCGCCTCAGGTAAACAACAACACACTCAGGTAAACAACACACCTCAGGTAAACAACAACACACTCAGGTAAACAACAACACACTCAGGTAAACAACACACCTCAGGTAAACAACAACACACTCAGGTAAACAACACATTCAGGTAAACAATAACATCTCAGGTAGACAACACACCCAGGTAAACAACACACCCAGGTAAACAACAACACACTCAGGGAAACAACAACACACTCAGGAAAACAACAACACACTCAGGTAAACAACAACACACTTCAGGTAAACAACACACCTCAGGTAAACAACAACACACTCAGGTAAACAACACATGCAGGTAAACAATAACATCTCAGGTAGACAACAACACACCCAGGTAAACAACACATTCAGGTAAACAATAACATCTCAGGTAAACAACACACCCAGGTAAACAACACACCCAGGTAAACAATAACATCTCAGGAAAACAACAACACACTCAGGTAAACAACAACACACTCAGGTAAACAACAACACACTTCAGGTAAACAACACACCTCAGGTAAACAACAACACACCCAGGTAAACAACAACACACTCAGGTAAACAATAACATCTCAGGTAGACAACAACACACCCAGGAAAACAACACACCCAGGAAAACAACAACACACCTCAGGTAAACAACACACCTCAGGTAAACAACACACCTCAGGTAAACAACACACCTCAGGTAAACAACAACACACCCAGGTAAACAACACATTCAGGTAAACAATAACATCTCATGTAGACAACAACACACTCAGGTAAACAACACACCTCAGGTAAACAACAACACACTCAGGTAAACAACAACACACTCAGGTAAACAACACATTCAGGTAAACAATAACATCTCAGGTAAACAACACATTCAGGTAAACAATAACATCTCAGGTAGACAACAACACACCCAGGTAAACAACACACCCAGGTAAACAACAACACACTCAGGAAAACAACAACACACTTCAGGTAAACAACACACCTCAGGTAAACAACAACACACTTCAGGTAAACAACACACCTCAGGTAAACAACAACACACTCAGGTAAACAACAACACACTCAGGTAAACAACACATTCAGGTAAACAATAACATCTCAGGTAGACAACAACACACCCAGGTAAACAACACATTCAGGTAAACAATAACATCTCAGGTAGACAACAACACACCCAGGTAAACAACACATTCAGGTAAACAATAACATCTCAGGTAGACAACAACACACCCAGGTAAACAACACACCCAGGTAAACAACACACCCAGGTAAACAATAACATCTCAGGAAAACAACAACACACTCAGGAAAACAACAACACACTCAGGTAAACAACAACACACTTCAGGTAAACAACACACTTCAGGTAAACAACACACCTCAGGTAAACAACAACACACTCAGGTAAACAACAACACACTCAGGTAAATAATAACATCTCAGGTAGACAACAACACACCCAGGTAAACAACACACCCAGGTAAACAACAACACACCTCAGGTAAACAACACACCTCAGGTAAACAACAACACACTCAGGTAAGCAACACACCTCAGGTAAACAACAACACACCCAGGTAAACAACACATTCAGGTAAACAATAACTTCTCATGTAGACAACAACACACTCAAGTACTTCACACCTGACATACGATACGATACGATAATACTTTAATGGTGAGATCAAGTCTGAGATGCTCCTTGCTTCACAGCAGCTCCATGCGTAACATCAACAGACAAACATCAAGACACAATACATGAACAACAAACAACAAACATCGAACATAACAACTCGATCAGTGAGAGGAAACCTGTTCAAAGAGCCTTCAGCGAGCATCTGATCTGGACTCAGCTCTGTGTTTACTGAGACGACTGACTGGAGCACAAAGGATGCTTCAGGCTGACTTGATTGAATCTCCATCAGATGGTAGCAGTTCATATTCTCTGTCAGAGCATGCTTTGGGTCCCAGAGGATGCTGTTGGTCAGCCTCTCAGGTTATTATGGTCTGTGAGTCAGAAAGTCTGACAGGTTGACCAACAATCGATGACGATGCATCTGTTCCCCTTGTTGTTGTGTGATGTTGTGATGTGTCGGCCCCTCAGTGCACGTGTTGCCCCAGCGGAGCCACATGTGGGTGGGGCTGCTGCTCGGCCTGCTGCTGGCCACCGTCATCGGGCTGCTGCTCACCGTGGTGGCTCACCGCCGAGAGAAAGAGACGCAGTTCGGGTAAAGAACACCTCATGTTCACATACAAACAAGCAGAGTGTTTATACTACCAATGTTTATATCGTGTGTGTGTGGAGCAAAGCCTGATGTATCCTCAAACCCACCTCCACAGTCTTGCTCCAGAAACTCACTCGAGCACATGATGTGGGTTCTTCTCCCGCTGAAAATAGTCCCTAACAATCAGTTTGTTTGGTATAAACCACAGCTGTTTTAGGAAATAACTAAGCTTTGAAGTACTGCACAAGTGACCCCTATTATGGAGACGGGTGAAATCAATAAAACATCTTTAGTTGCACAAAGGTCTTGTGTTACATATTGCGCTGTAAGACGTATATTCGTAATTTCTCCAGACTGCATGAAACATGGCCAATATGAGCTGAGTTTAAGAACTTGTAACCCCTTTAAAAAGTCCTGGAGACCTTTCTCCCTTTGTACGTCGTAGAGATAGCTTAGAGTAGATTACAACCATGTGTAAATCATTGCCTATGCTGCCAGCTTCTGACGAAACTACACTTTATAGAACTGAGTTTATTCTCTCCAAACCAGTCATTTGTCTTTTTTTGAAACATTTTTGAAAGTTTGCTTAAAATGTTGTTGGAAATTGAAAGAAACCAAACTTCATTTGTTTTGACCTATGGTTTTGACTGGTGTTTTCTACCTATTTTATAAACACATCTCATGTTCAGACTGAGCTCTAAATGCTTAACGTGTCTCTCTCTCTCTCCGTCTGCAGCTCGGCCTTCAAGCCTCCGGGTCAGGAGAGCTCCGTCTCTTTCACCGCGGCTCGCTCCTTCAACAGGAACTGTGCAGAGCTGCAGGACTCCACATGTGAGTCTGATAAATACACTTTACAGTGTGTGTTGATCTAACTACAAAACACCCTTCTGTTTTCTGGGTTACATGCTCTCTGAATATCAGAACCACTCCAACAGACTTGGTGTAAATCCTAAAGTCAGAGCTATAAAGGAGAACAAGATAAGATAAGAAGTACTTTATTGATCCCAATTTGATAAATAGATATTTAGCATGCAGTAGAGTTTGAGTGAACATGCAGTCGGAGCGTCTTCTCTCTATCAGGACTGACTGTTCTTTAGCAGCCTGTTTACAGGAAACACACCTGTATTGATGGACTGCACTCAGCCGGCCTGTATTTACCTGCCGCCTCTCAGCCAATTAGATCGTCCCTCTGACAAAACAACAACACTTACTGTAACTCTGAGTGTGATCAGTGAAGCAGAAACACTACATATATAAAGAGAACTCCCCCCAGTGTGTCTGCATGTATAGAATAAAGCAATTAGTGTCAAGTCTGACAAATATTCTCAAGGGATGTCACCTGAGCCGGCTTCTGTTGAGAACTTACAAAATAAAGAAAAAATTGACGTTTGATTAGAAATAAGTATTCATTATGGCCGTAGGTTATATTACTAGCATCACAAACCATAGAGGGGTGCAGGAATGAGTCCAATACCCAGAAATGAGTCAGCATTTGACCACTTCCTGTTCCCTTGTCTTAGAAGAATTGACAATCGTCTGTGGAGATTTTAACGCTATGTCCTAGGATATAAAATACATCAGACAGTGCTGCAGTTTTTTTTGTATTGCCTAACGGTAGCTTTTTACCTCTAGCGATTTCACTTCTGCTTCAAAAATCATGAATTCTTATCACGCAACTGTTAGAGGGAGAGATACACTGTGGGAAATATACGCAGCAAGTTTTAACAGAAAATACATTTGTGTGGAATAAAAAACTGGATCTTTGGTACCAGTTGCATCAGTTTTCATCACACACACACACACACACACACACACACACACACACACACACACACACACACACACACACACACACACACACACACACACACACACACACACACACACACACACACACACTCTCTTCATCACACTCCTGAAACTCTCACAATGGATGAATAACAATAAGGATGTGTGTGTGTGTCTCCCTCCAGTGGACAGTCTGGGTATAAACGAAGACCTGAAGAACAAACTACAGGACGTCCTGATCCCAGAGAGGCTGCTCACACTGGGACACATGCTGGGGAAAGGTAACACACACACACACACACACACACACACACACACACGCACACAGAGGGACGCGGGAAGTCAGTCAGAGTTGGGGGTGCTAGTGGAGCCTCGCAGATGGGGGTGCTGCAGCCCCCTCTGCACCCCCCCTTCCCGCGTCCATGCACACACAAGATATCCTTTTCACACACACACATATATTCTAACACACATCTTTTCACATTGAATTCTTTAACACTTGACTCTCTTTTGACCCTATTGACCCTTTTTGTTTGTGTTTCTTTGTTTTTATCGTCTGTCAATTATTTATACATTTTCTGTCACTTTCGCTCCCTTGTTCGTAAAACTAAAAATTGCTATTTGTATATAATGTATCTGTTAAACTGAAATCAATTAACACACTAAGACATGTTTTTTTAAATGGTTTGAAAGTCTGAAAATATTAGAAGTAGAATCCAAACAGAAGAGAGACAACTGAACAATAAAAAACTGATATTAAAGTGTGTGTAATAAAGGTGTGTGTGTTGATGTGCAGGTGAGTTCGGCTCGGTGCGGCAGGCCTTCCTGAAGTCCGAGGACTCGTCCGTCTTAAAGGTGGCGGTCAAAGTGCTGAAATGTGAGTCTGCCGTTTCTTCTTCTTTGGTTATTAATGTAGCAGCAGGTGCAGTTTGGCTTTCCATAAATAAATAAAAAAACATATATCTTAATATGTGTGTGTGTGTGTGTGTGTGTGTCCTCCTCCTCCTCCAGCTGACATCACTTCATCATGTGACATAGAGCAGTGTCTGAAGGAGGCGGCCTACATGAAGGACTTCCACCATCCCAATGTCATCCAACTCATAGGTACACACACACACACACACACACACACACACACACACACACACACACACACACACAGTCAAGCTAAAGGTGGCTAATGTTGGACTATAAAGGAACACAATCACATGACTTCACTGCTAAGCTACACATCAGATGACCCTTGGTTAGGCCGTGCAGTTTGATTGACACTCCTTCCCGTCCAATAGGAGTGAGCCTGCACCGGCGTCACGGCCAGCGGCTGCCGATCCCGATGGTGGTTCTTCCCTTCATGAAGCACGGAGACCTGCACACCTTCCTGCTGCTGTCCCGCCTCGGAGAACACCCTTTCGTAAGAGAGAACATTTAGAGGAACATAGTTACAGGTTCTTCAACAGTGCAGCATACAATATACTTAAAACATAAAAAGACATAAAATAGTGCAAGTAAAAATGCAGGAATTAGTAGACAACGTACATTTAAATAGAACAAGATCAAACATGATGTAAAATTAAATATTGTACAGTTCAATTTAATACTGCTCATGGTTGTAAGGGAAACTTCTGTGTAGCAATGCAGTGGGAGTCACCGACTCAGGAAAGAGACACGGGAAGAGCAGGAGCTTTGATGTCAAACACTGATGGTTTATTTGGAGCTTCGGCCGCAGAATTCACATCACAAGTCCAAGAGCCAGAGGTTCTGACTTCACGGTAGAGTTGCCACGTCAATTCTGGAGCGCCTCTCTCTCGTTAGCCCATCTAACTGGTTTCGCAGAGAGTAATCAACATATTTGAGAAGATAGCCTAAACAGTTGGGAACACTGAGTTACTTGCGTCTGACACTTATGGCCTCGAAGATTTCACACCTTGGAGTCCACAAACACAGAGAAGGAAGTGTCCCAGTGTACCCACAACAATAAACCATCTGTGACCGAGGGTTGCCCGGTCATAGAATGTGAACAACAACATCATGGCTGAAGCAGCATATCTCCTTAAAGGAGATAACAGACGTCAGGGTTGGTCATGCACGTCATATCTAGGAGTCTAGGACAATTATTTCCCTAACAATGGTAATAATATATCAATATGTGGATTGTTAACAGATGTATGTGCTATAAACCAACGAATGGGATCCACAATTGTATTCCCTTCAGCTTACATTTGATTTAAAGATTTATGAATAAAGACTTTATTATATGAGAAAAAAACAAGAGAAAATTGTTTAAAATGGATGACTGATGGGAAGTTTTAGGGATATAATTAAATGTTCTTCCACCTGTGCTGACGTCTCTTTGTGTCCCTCCTTCAGGATCTGACTCTGCAGATGCTGCTGCAGTTCATGTTGGACATCGCTCAGGGGATGGAGTACCTGAGCAGCCGGAGCATCATCCACAGAGACCTCGCCGCCAGGAACTGCATGTGAGTCCACCAATCAGCTCACGGAGTCCACCAATCAGCTCACGGAGTCCACCAATCAGCTCACGGAGTCCACCAATCAGCTCACGGAGTCCACCAATCAGCTCAGAGAGTCCACCAATCAGCTCAGAGAGTCCACCAATCAGCTCAGAGAGTCCACCAATCAGCTCAGAGAAGCTCAGGGAGTCCACCAATCAGCTCAGGGAGTCCACCAATCAGCTCACGGAGTCCACCAATCAGCTCACAGAGTCCACCAATCAGCTCACAGAGTCCACCAATCAGCTCAGAGAGTCCACCAATCAGCTCAGAGAAGCTCAGGGAGTCCACCAATCAGCTCAGAGAGTCCACCAATCAGCTCAGAGAAGCTCAGGGAGTCCACCAATCAGCTCAGGGAGTCCACCAATCAGCTCAGGGAGTCCACCAATCAGCTCACGGAGTCCACCAATCAGCTCACATAGTCCACCAATCAGCTCACAGAGTCCACCAACCAGCAACAAATCTAAATATTAAAACAGAAACACCTGAACATCACATGGGGGCTTTATGATTGACAGTCAGGTTTTCAGTCCACGCTTCCTCAGACGGAAACATGCTTGTATTTTCTTATTGAAATCACCTGTGTGTGTGTGTGTGTGTGTGTGTGTGTGTGTGTGTGTGTGTGTGTGTGTGTGTGTGTGTGTGTGTGTGTGTGTGTGTGTGTGTGTGTGTGTGTGTGTGTGTGTGTGTGTGTGTGTGTGTGTGTGTGTGTGTGTGTGTGTGTGTGTGTGTGTGTGTGTGTGTGTGTGTGTGTGTGTGTGTGTGTGTGTGTGTGTGTGTGTGTGTGTGTGTGTGTGTGTGTGTGTGTGTGTGTGTGTGTTGCAGGCTGAATGAGAACATGACGGTGTGTGTGGCAGACTTCGGTCTCTCTAAGAAGATCTACAGTGGAGATTACTACAGACAGGGTTCAGTCTCTAAACTCCCTGTGAAGTGGATCGCTCTGGAGAGCCTCGCAGACAACGTGTACACCACACAGAGCGACGTGGTACTGACACACACACACACACACTGACACACTGACACACTTTCATACACACACACACACAATTGCACACATTCACAGACAACTTATTTTACTGTCATTTTACGATAATTGTTTCTCTTTTTGGTCGTTTTGTTTCTTCTTTCCATTTTTAGTCATTTCATTTTAGTTTAGTAGTCCTTTAGTTTCTCTTCGTGCTCATTGTGTGTCATTTGAGTTCACTTAGTGTCTCTTTTTGCGTTTCTATGTAGTTATTCTGTTAATGCTTTTCAGTTATGAATGACATAGAAATGCATCATTATATATTTTTGATTTGTGTGTGTCAGTGGGCGTTTGGCGTGGCGATGTGGGAGATCATGACTCGAGGTCAGACTCCGTACCCCGGCGTGGAGAACTCTGAGATCTACGAGTATCTGATCAAAGGAGAGCGACTGAAGAAACCTCCGGACTGCAGAGACGACATGTGAGTCTGAAACATATTTATATATATTACACACACTTTTGCACCTGGTCACTGCTTTTCCCCGTCAGCGTTGATGTCATACATTTTATTTGTGGCTTTTCAACAACAATACTTTATAGAGTGACTGTTAATGTTTGACGTTGGTGCCATATTGTCTTAGTGAACAGATTTTGTTAATATTTTTGTGAGCTAAATGTACACTATTCTACCAAACTTCACACGCTACCAAGTGACTTTTAAGCTATAAGAGGCATTTTAAATCATTGATCTAAAAAAAAGGGGCCTCAATTTCCTTTTTTTAAATGTCTTACATGAATCTTCACAAGGTCTGGAAAAAGGACAATACATGCACACACACACACACCACACACCACACACACACACACACACCATACACCACACACACACACACCATACACCACACACACCACACCACACACACACACACCACACCACACCACACATCTTTTGGATATTTTTACACAATACCTCCTGCATTAATGTCCCACAAATCAGGATGCTCGGGGCAGCTGTTTCTACTAGCTAGCAATGACATTGGTACTAGTTTCATTATTTTAAATTAAATTCAAAGTATTAAAAAAGTCAATGTAGGAACCCTTATAGTAACTTATTTATCATGTTTCTTCCATCTATCCTTCTTCTGCTTCTTATTCTATCGTCTCCTCCTTCTCCTCCTGTCAGTTATGAGATCATGCACAGCTGCTGGAGTCCCGTCCCTAAATGTCGGCCCAGTTTCCAGCACCTGATTGGCCAGGTGGAGGCTCTTGGGGGCAGCCTGTCCCCCGCCCCCCCGCTGAAGGAGCCTCTGCTCTATGTCAACCTGGAGGGGGAGCCTGGAGGAGGATGTGGGGCCGACGGGGGGGTCGGATGTCAGGGGGAGGGGATGGAGGCGGGGAACCAGAGCTGGAGCATCCCATGGCAGATCCGAGCGGAGGAAGAGGAGAAAGACTGGCTGATGGTGGGGTCAGGGGTCGCCCTCGCTATCGGGGGAGACTACAGGTACATCATCGGCCCCTGTGGAGCCCCTGAGGAAGAGGAGGAGGAGGAAGGATCTGGAAACAGAGGGGACACGTTACAGGAGGAGGACAGAGACGATGAGGACGACGCCGTCATTAACGTCTGAAAAATCACAGCGCTGCTCTGATTGGACTTGTTTAGTAATCAGAGAGGGACGCTTGATTTGTGGCGCTCGATTTGTGGCGCTGAGCAGCAGCAGGCGGGTGGAGACGGGATGGATTCTCTCTGCTGAAGGTACAGAGCCCGGCACACAATCAGTCCCTCCGATAACTCACTGATACTCCGTGTTCTGCTGGGACTTAAAGCAGGGGGAGTTGGGTAAAGGCTCACAAAAAGGATTGAAATCACCCTAACAGCAGTCAATAATAATAATAAGAACAGTGTAATATAATTTATATTACAATGTTTGATAAAAGCAAACGCCGCTTTTCTAAAATGAACATGCATCAGGTCAGTTTTAAATCATAAAACCTTAAGTTTTTATGTTTTGATTTAGGTCAGTACCTCAAATAACACACTGATACTCTGACTGGGTCTTAAAGCTCAAAGACACAGGAAGAGTTTAATTAAGGCTCAAAGAAAGGATTGAAATCACTCAACCAGCCGTTAATAATAATATCAGGGAAATATCATGTTATTATCGTAACAAGTTTGATAATAGAAATAGCTGCTTTGCTGATAGTCAACACGACTCAGCTCCTTTTCTGTTTTCATTCAGGTCAGTATCCATAACATCACGTGTCATTAATCTATTTATAAAATAAAAGCTCTCGGCACACCAGGAACCTGTTTCTACGAATGGTCACAATGCACTTTTTGTACAATAACTAAACAAACAATATTCTTTGAACCTTCTTTGGTCTAACAGTTCATTATGAATTGAACCGCGACCCTAAATAATGCTGTCAGTTTCACATTTAAAACACTGGCAACAGGAAAAATATTTGATTAGGAATTTACCTTAACTAGGAGCCGACTTACACTGGATTTAGTCGATATTATAGTTATTTTATTATAATTGACTTGTCCGCGCACGTAAAGGAAAAAGTGAAATACCGTGCAATAGATGTAAATGTTAAAAGAAACGGCAGCAATTTTATATCGTAAAAAAGCAGGAATGAAAGACAAAAGTTCAGATGTGAAATGAGAGCACTTAAAAGACAATACATCAACACATTTTTCATAAAAGCTTCTGAAATGAGTGTTTGTGATAATGATCCATATTATTTATGATATTCTTGGCCTTTGAACAATGTGAAAATCAGGTCTACTCGATCAGCATATCCGAGACATTTCTCTACACCTAAAGTATGCTAATGTTTTATATCGTCAACTTCAATAGAGGATAAGGGCCACATGTGATTTATTTATTTTTTAGATCGGACTTATTACAGATTTCTTTTTTCTTTTGCGTCCTGAGATTGAATTTGGAATTCTGACTTTCTTTAATTCTGACTTTTTTTTTTTTAATTCTGACTTTTTGGGGGATTCTGACTTTTTCTTAAAATCCTGACTGTTTCTCAAAATTATGACTTTTTCTTAGAATTCTGACTTTTTCCTCGGAAGTCTTACTTTTTTTTTTCTTTTTTCTACTGACTTCTTAGATCTCTTAGAAATCTTTTTTTTTATCAGATCCCAAAAACTAAAATCCCATCTGGCCCTTTAATCCTCTCCCCAAACCTTCCCCTGTGAACCCTGTAGACATTGATGCAGCCAGTTCAAATCTACTTGACAGCTTGAAGTGCAATAACTTTCTGTATCAACATTTGACTGGTGAACGTTTGACACTGATGGACGACCCTCTCTGGAAGCACTTTTCATGCATTAAACCATCATTATCTCATTATAATGAAAAACATTCTCAAAATAACTACTTTGTATATAACACATGTTTTTTCTCATTAAGTCTATAAGCTTCAACAGCCAGTAAGTATAACTTAAAACCATGTGAACAGACTTTTGTCCAATCTCCATGCATTGCTTCCTAACTAGTTGTCCTGTTAAGTGACTGGTTAGTCTTCAGTCTATCTAACTCGTGGTGACAGGAAGCTTCTACTAATCTGAAGTGCTGAATAAACCGTGTGCATCTTGTTTCATTTGCGTCAGGAGTTCAAGGGATCGTTGATCTTTTCACAGACACTAGCTTGACAATATTTTAGTTTAATTCAACTTTATTCACCTTCATTTTGTGTTTCTGATCAGCGTTATTATTCACGTCTTGACGTGTGCATTAAAATAATAGAAAAAGTTAACATTATATCTGAGTCCCAGTCTTTCTGGTTACTAAAGCAATTTGTCACTCAACTGAAATTGTAATCTGCTTATATTTGGATATGGATTTTGCTCAAATATTATTACTAAATGTGCTTATTTATCCAATTAGGTGCTTTTCAGTGTCTTGCATCACGCTGAATTAAGGTCATTAACTTGCAAGACATTTGAAGACTGGTTCAAATGTTGGCATTTCTTCTGTTTTGAGGAAGAATTCGTCATTTTAATTTTTAGAGCAGAAACATGACATTATTTATTCATGATTTAAAAAAAATTTTAGTTGGAAAGATGTCATTTTTTTTTAAGCACAATTGTCAAAACGGCAAGAGTTTTAATGTGAAAATATGCAGTCATTTTGTCATCTATGGTACAAAACCTGACATTTTTTTAATTGTTGGCCAAAAACACAAGAACTTAGAGCTACTTTAATGTATTAGCGTTGCAACGATTATTTGAGTACTATGAATAAATCCTCTTTAAATTAACTGATGAAAATTATTAATCATGTATTGTCGCCCTAAAATGTAATTTTTCTACTATTTTCATAGAAATGATTTATCGAAGTTTCAAATAATCGTTGCAGCACTAATTATTACATTTAGGCGTGATTGTCATACTCATTGCAACTAACTTTTAGGGCATTTTGTATTTAAGTTTGTACTGTGCATTTCACCTAATATGTGTGTTTAATACATGCACAGTGAACAGAGTGGGGGCAATGGGGGGCCATTAGGGGCCCACGGCACCATTACGGCCCCTGCAATGTGTTGATCCGGCCCTGTTGTAAATAAAGTTGTGCATATTTGAATTCTGCTCTAAAATGACTCACTTGGACATTTCTAGATTCTCTAACATTGAAATAAAGCTGTTAATGTTTTTAATTACTTGAAGCATGTCATGGGAACACTGTACACCCTTATCTCTTAACTATAGGTTGTATAGAGATGTAATTATTATGTATGTAGAAATCTGGACGTAATGTGGGTTTATAGCTCTGACTGTAAGACAGTTTATTTTCCGCCCTGATAATTAAATATAACTGTAACTCGACTTGTCTGTCTGCACCCCTCATGGCGGGATATCAAGGGACCGTGTGCTTTAATGTACCTGACGTTTTGTATGTTGATGTAGAGTCACACACTGAAGTCCTCACCTGTCTGTCTACCACTGACTTCAGATCTGTACAGAAATTATTTGAGACTCGTGACGAATGAATAAAGTGTTATTTGTGTCACATTGATTTATTTTGTATTGTTTCACACTGTTACCATTAACTTTAATCCACTAGTCAGCTGTTGACCCATCACCTGAAAAATAATACATCAGTCACTATGAAGAGACGAGAAACACAATGTTACAAAGATACAAGCACATTCGCTTCCTGATATAAGTGTCCTTTAGTAAATGTTCTTCATAAATACAGAGGTGGAAGAAGTACTCAGATCTTGTACTTGAGTAGAAGTAGAAGTACTCAGATCTTGTACTTGAGTAAAAGTAGAAGTACCAGAGTGTAGGAATACTCTGTTACAGTAAAAGTCCTTATTCAAAATGTTCCTCAAGTGAAAGTAGAAAAGTATTATCATCAAAATATAGTGAAAGTAGCGACAGTAAAAGTAGTCGTTGTGCAGATTGGTCCATTTCAGAATAATATATATGATGTGTTTTATAATGATTGATCATGAAAGTGTTCTCAAAGCTGGTGAAGGTGCAGCTAGTTTGAATGACTTTGTATACTGCAGGGTAGCTGGTGGATTTACTCCAGGTGGAACTAAAGTCTGATTTAACACACAAGTAACTAAAGGTATTAAATACATGTAATGGAGTAAAAGTACAATGCATATGTCTGCTACTTTTGGAAAATGTTAATTAATCTGAACCCTAATTTACCTTTTCTTGCCCTGAACGCTACTTTATTTTTTATAAATTTGATTTCCCCTTTTATTTATTACTTTCATGTCACCCACCTCGTCTTCAATTATCTTGTGTAATGAACTATTCCATACTTCTTTTATAAAGTAGTTGTGTATACTTCTGAATGTGTCTATTTATATCTGTCTTTTTGCTGCTGCACCTGAATTTCCCCTTGGGGATCAATATGGTCTCATCTCACTGTAAACCAACCTCTTTACATGTAACACGAGTCTGAATACATCTAGATATACACTCTTAAAAGGTGTTTATGTTAATGCTGTTTTCACAGCACGTCTGTTTCTTGTTTGATTCCTTGGATAATCCGAGTCACTGCGTCGTCCTACAAAGAGCTCTCTCTTCAGCCAAGAAGGATCCGGAAACCCTCTCACCATCATGAGTCTCCAGAGTCCTCCATGTCACAGCGTGGGACACGTTCACCAACTTTAGGGCTATTGTTGGAGCGATAAACAAATAAATATGTCATAAAAGACCAGTGTCAGTAGAAGTCTTAAGACCTTTTAATATACTGCTACAAGTATAAGTCATGCATTCTTAATTGTATTCCTAGTAGTAATATTCTCATGTAATAATCATGAAAATCTAAAGGATAAAACATTATGGACACACTATGCAGCCAGTCTATTTAGCTGGTACACTATATTATATACAATGCAGTAAAATGTTAGCATTTGAATGTATTTCATGTCGTACAGTGCTTGATTACATCACTGCAAACGTCTCTGCAAAGCTATTGTTGCTCTATATAAATACAAAGGACTATAAACACACACACCTCTGCAAGACGATCAATTAGGAGCTCACGTGGGTTTATTGATTTTAGTGCGTGACGTCATCAGGACGGCCTTTGTCTGAACAGTAGCAGCATTAGCATCATTCACCTGGCTAACAGCAAATCTGCTAACTACCTGGTTCAATAAAGCCTAGAATGCTGTTAGCCTGGGAGCAAACAGTTCGCTAAATCACTGTAGTTCATGTTGTATTTACCTTTATACATCGGCTCTCGGACTGAGGATAACGTAAAATGAAACAAATGATGAAAAACAAAACAAACGTAAGAATCCAATCAATATTCCTTATGCGCATGCGCCGTAATCCAATCCCTTGCCGCAATATACGTGAACGCGCAGGGCTGGGCTACCGTTACATTCAAATTAAACGAAGACGGTTGCAGTCAGTTAGGTTCAAATCTATAACGTTATTCTTCAAAAATAATCACGCAAAATAGTCCCCAAAACGCTGCGGTTGTTAAAGTAACATGATAAACATTGCCGGTTGACAAACACTTAATTTCAGCTATAAGTGTAGTGTTTTATTCATTATGTGAGTAGCTAGTTGTGTGTACTATCTGTATACAAATATATAATGTATTTAAACTGATGTAGTTCGGTTGACCGTTAGGCTAAAAACGGCCGTTAGATAATGCTATCACGTTAGGCCACAACCAGCAGCCCCATCGTGGCTGCTGATCCCTTTGTTTGTAGCAGAGGGGAAACATTTCTCCATTGCGGTCCGTGGGTCCGACTATATATCGCACCGATAACCACATTGAAACATATCACTTCCATTGACATGTGTCCATTTTGGTAGGCATATATGTATAAGAGCCGTGTATTAAAATAACGCCGACATTAACGGTGTCGTTCAGCCTCTCCACTAGCTGGGTGGAAACATCATGGAGTCTGTCTGGTGAAATGTGGCCGAACATGAGCAGTCAAATACGGAATCATAGCTCGTGATTACCACAAGCACAATTGTTTAAAACGGAAATATGTAATGTATTCCGTTTAAATCTACCGTGATCTGTAAATAAGTCCCACAAATCACAAGCTAAACGCTTCCATAAATTGTACATGGATCTGGCTGGGTGGAAACATCATAGAGTCTCGGTCTGCTGCTGCTGTTACAGTCTGAAATGTGGCCGAAAATAAGCAGTCAAATACGGGATAAGGGCTCACGATTATCTCAAGCACAGTTGTTTAAAACCCATTCAAATTATACGGTATACAGTCTATGTTGTGAAACACCACAATAATTTAGAGTCCATAAGCAAGCAAGAAGCGAGGCCAGATTGGCATGTAATGAGCCGACGCAGTTTTAAACCGGAGTTAACCGTTTCTTTGCCACAGTGGTTTGAACGCATTTATGCAACGTATTCAGTTAAAATCCACCATGATCTTTGAAGAAATCCCACCAATCACTTGCTAACGTCTTCCATTAGTTTCACATGGATCTGGTTGTTTTGAATATCCCGTATATTGCAGTAGTTTTGACCATGCATCTCCTGCTGGAAACATTCCCACCAGCTTCCCTCTTTAGGCTCTGTGTTTAAAATCAGTTGTATCCCATTTTGACGAAGGTAACACCGGAAGTAACTATAATCTGTATACATGAGAAAAATAACTGTCGGTCGTAGCGTCTGTTTGCAGCATCAGGAAGTCACAATATTCCAGTAAAAAGTCCAATAGGAAGAGAAACATCTACGGAACAGAAGACACCATCTCGCTGCTCCACCGCTCTTCCCCCGCAGATAACGGACGATATGCCCGGGTGTTGATGCCGACGAGTTTTGAACCAGGTGGCGGCAGCAAGATGGCGTCCGAGGCTGCGCAGTACCGAAGAAGACGGGCGGTGACGTAACAGTGCAAAGACACCGCATGCCTTTTTTCCCCGACCTCATTTGAGAAAACCTCCACCATGTCGACTGGGTTTATACGACGGGAAACACACGTGGATTAATATCATAACGTCGAAATACGTGATCTGTTGGACCGCGCAGAAGGTAATCCGTGTGCTGTTAGTGTTGCACATGGTCTCAGTGGGTCCAAACAGACTGTAGTGTTTGGTGTTACATGGGAAGCCATTACTGGGCTCAGCATCAGGCCTGCTGCTGCTGCTGCTAGCTAGCTTCAGGCTCTGTAAGAACTTCTTATGCATTCAAAGTTAAACATATCAAGAAGACACTAATCAAAAGTGATTGTTTTCTGTTGCAACATTAGTTTTCCTTAACTTAGCCAAACTAAAAATAGGTGTTTTAATAGTTAGGTTGTCATGCCGCTACATGGCATTAAGCATGTATGCTAATTAAGGATATTCAGGTTTTGGTGAATTTACTGTAAATGTATTCCAACACAACCAGTTTTCCCTAACTTAGCCATACAAAACAAATTATGTTTCATTTAGTTCAGTTTATATGGACTAACATGGCAACACATCGCGTAGTCAAAGCATGTGATATTAAAGGATATTCAGGGTTGGTTAAGTTACTCTAAATGTATTCCGATGCAACCAATCTTCCTTAACTTAGCCAAACTAAAAAATAGATGTTTAATTTTGTTAAGTTTCTATGCCGCTAAATGGCAACAAATCTAGTTTAAGCATGTTATAATGAAGGATATTTAGGGTTAGGGAAGTTACTGTAATTGTATTCTGATACAATGGTTATTCAATATATTGCGTTGTATTGTGATATATCGCTAACAATATCATAGTAGGCTTTAAATATCAACATGTTCATCAGGTTTTAAAAGTTTATTTTTGTGTCCTCCTTAAACTACTTCCTGACTCAGTTTACTTTACGTTAGAGTAAAACAAGTTAATCAACTGAATGTAGATTACAACACTGCTAGCTAGCTAGGTTTTAAGTATTACAACCTGCAGTACTTTAAATGGCCTCTTAAAAATGGGGCAAACGCCATATAAGAAATATACATGTTTCAAAGTTTATAGCGTATTTACCCTATTTCAAATAACCAAATCCAAGCATCACGAAAATAACATACAGATAAATACAAGAGTAAAATACAGATAAAGACTTGACCTGATTACTAGGGTTGAGTATTGACAAGAACCTGGCAATCCAATACGCATCATGATACAATTGTTATTCAGCATATTGCATTGTATTGCGATATGTCACATACAATAACATAGTAGGCTTTGAATAACACAATAACATACATGAGGTTTTAAAAGTTGTGCGCCCTTAAGGTACTTTCGGTCTCAGTTTACTTATTTAGTTGGAGTAGAAAAGTTAAATGACTGAAAATAGATTACAACACTGCTAGCTAGCGTCCAGGAGTTTTAACCAAGCGGAAGTACCGTAACCTGCAGTACTTTGAAAGGCCACTTGAGGCTGGCTTACAAAATGTAGCGACCGCCATTGAGCACCATGGTAAAAATGTACTAAAGAAATATACCTGTTTACAGTCTGGGATAAAAAATGTTTTATGATCTCTATAGCGTATTTACCCTTTTCCCAGAACCCAAATCCAAGCTTCTCAATGATAAAGTAACAAAGACGAGAAATAAATACTTACTGCTCCTTGATAATGGTGGTTGTTAGCCTGTTAAGGCCCATGCCCCCGGTACCGGAGGCTAAACGCAACATCTTGCAAGAAACAGCGTCTGAGGGCTTCTTAACATTTAACAAACTATCAATGTATCATACCCACTTAACGGGAAGAAACTCAGCTATCAGACAATATGAACATTTTTACCGAAACAAAACACAACTCTAACGCCAAGCCTCTGAATTAGCACTAAGCGAAAGAGTGCTAACGCACTTAGCACATAACTCACGGTAGAAATATGTTATACTTCATTGATTCTGCACAAATATATCACATGAAAGCTGAGATTACACAGATTCCAATGGTATAAGTATCATCACTGTGTGACCAAAACTCAGGGCAGCAAAGGCGAAACCAGACAACACACAACTTAGCTTTACGGGGCCAAAACGGCAAATACGTCTTACCTTTGCTGTTTTCTGATCAAAAGTTGTGTTCAATGGCATTACAACGCATAAAAACGCTGCTGAAGGTTAATCCAATGTGTCTGTGTCACGTTGAAATGATTACTGATAATCCATCGTCATATTTATGGCAAAAACTTGAGTTTTCATATATAGCTGCTATGAGAGCGACGAGAGTGTATGAGAGCTTCCGGTTTTGGGCATGCTGCGCATCATTCACCAATGGTAATGTTTAGATGGATTTATGAACTTCCCCTCGATTCTATTTTTTAAAAGAGGTGTCAATCACGAAAATCGACCGATGGGTTCCAGAGATATGGCAAATACACCCAAATGACCCCAGAAGTGTTTTTTTTTTCAAACCTCTCTTAAAAAGGTCAAATGTCACTTGTTTTGCATCAATCTTGATACAGGGTACTTATTATATGTTATAGTTTGGATTCCTAAAACTTTTAGTCTACTATCCCATCATTCAAGGGTGGTTTTCACTATAAGTAATTTTTTTTACTATGTTCAGTCTGAATTTACTTTCAAATAAAAAATATCTATATTGATTCTGATTTTTCTACATCCAACTCACAGGTTTATCATTGCTTTGAGAAAAAAGATTATTAATTTATCCCTTTTAGAAGTGAAGTTATAGTTCACATTTGTTCTGGGAATGTCATTTTCGAGCCTGAGACCTGAAAAACAGGCTTGGGGCTTAACAGGCTTAACAGCGGTAGCACTGGACAGGTTGTGTAGGTAGGTGTTGTTTCCTCCTCTGAAACCAATGAAATTAGCAATTTATTTTAAAGACCATAGAGATTAACTTCAGTTTGTTTATGGTTATGAAGAAAGATGTCATTCATTGCTACAATCTGGCTCAGTTAAATCTCACCGGTTGAAATGTATAGCAGAAATAATTCCCCCAAAGCTCAATTTGCAGTGTATTGAAAATAGTCAGTATCACTCCCTTCATCAATGCCACAAGGGCCAAAAGAGACACCAGAGCTTGGTGGTTGTGGAGGCTTGAACTGTGCATGCTCTCATGCTACGCTGTGACACTTTCAACAACACACAACTACAATTATCTCTCTGTTCTGACTGTTGGTAAAGAAAGGGAGTATATGGGATTAATGGTGCAGTGTACTGAAAATGCTATAACCAATTTTACAGCTAGTTTTTCTTTTTTAGGATGCTGTCCCAAACCATTGTACAAATGTATAAAAAGCAGGATCCTCCTGCCCTTTAGATGTCTGGAAGCTGTTCATGGCTTCTAAGAAGAAGCGAAAAGGAATGGTGTTCCATCAGGAAGGGGCAACCAGCCCTGTTGCGGCACCTGCCGCGGACCATCCATCTTCCCGCTTTGTTGTTCCGACACTAGGGAAGGCAAGTGAAGGCGGTATGGAGCAAAGCAACTGTGCAACCAATGAAGAGGCAGATATGATGGGTAAACCCAACATGTACCCATATAAAGAACCGGTTAGGAATGCTGGTGGACTTGCTGCTGTGAAGCTTCCGTATAGTTCAAACCCTGAGCCAGACAACCTCTCACCTGATAGCATCTGCAAAGGTATCAAAGTAACGCTGGACAACAATGGCATGTGGAACGAGTTTTTCAAATGCAAAACAGAGATGATTGTGACTAAACAAGGCAGCAGGATGTTCCCCTACTGCCGTTTTCGCATCTCTGGCTTGCAGCCATCTAGGAAGTATTCCTTGATCATGGACATTCAACTTTTAGACATCAGTCGTTACAAGTGGAATGGCAAAAGCTGGCAAGTTGCTGGAAAGGCAGAAAGTCATGGTAAGAGTCAACCATTCGCTCACCCAGAGTCTCCATCAACAGGAGAACACTGGATGAAAAATCCAGTGTCCTTTTACAAACTGAAACTCACAAACAACGTCTCGGAACAAGAGGAGAACACCATCCTGCATCCGATGCACCGCTACTTGCCAAGACTGCATCTGATCCAAACCGAGAAAGCTTCTGATGACATCAATCTAAAGGGTCGCAATCTTATGACATTCACTTTTCCCCAGACTGAGTTTATGGCAGTCACTGCTTACCAAAACCCACAGCTTTCCCAGCTTAAAGTCGACTACAATCCGTTTGCTAAAGGACTGAAGGAGGAGAGCTCCAGTCCGTTTGGTCTAAAACTGAAGTTGAACTCTGAAAAAGACTTGCACAAAGGTGGAGGCACGACAACCAATGAGCAACATCCCCTGAAGAAGAGCTTGAAGTCTTTGCTTGCAAACCATAAACCTAAAAGCTTAAAAGCAGTGGATGCAAAGCCTTCGGGTTCTAGTGATCTTCAGAAAAAATCCACTACGAATGAAGATCAATCAGCTGCCAGTGTGACTGAGGAATGTTCAGGGTAAGAGTTACACTTTGTAAAAGAAGATGGCATGCTTTTCACAATTGTACTAAATGTCAAGTTTGCAAGTTGGCTATGTTTAAGAATTGACTCGGGTGTTGTTTCATTGCTCTGTATCTAATAACCTGATGTCATTTTGTGAACTACCGCATCATACGTGCTTCCTCTAGTCGTCATCAAATGTTGCTAAATATGCGTTTTTTTAAGATACTGTTACTCAATCAACACCATGTTTGCTCTCACATCGGTTGGATTATTGTCTCAGATACAACTTTGCACTTTGATGGGTATCTTTGCATATATTTACAAACACGCTGTTCTCACAATCATCCTTCAGATTTCAATCATGTTTTGTGTTCGGCACGTGATTTAAATACAAAGCTGTGATAAAACAGTTATTCCTGTGCCCACTATACTGTAGTTGATTCCCCAGAATATATCTTTCTATGCATTATTTTTCTAGTCAAGTTTGGCAAAGCCATTTACCAAGATGATTAGCTTTTCCCTCATTTGTTGACTTCATATTAGATCGTTCAGTTTGAGGTAACCCATGTGTTTAGGACCTCAGAGAATATTTCCATAAAGTGAAATGTTTCTTATCTTCTTCAGGTTGTGCCACAAGATTTTGTACTGTCAAGGGAGCTGCCACAATTTGTATGGAGCTTCTGTTCGCAGCAAATGTCTGCCTATTGCGCCTGTAGTGTTAAAGTCGTTTGGAAGATTGTGGGATGGTGCCTGATTTGCTAACTACAAATGCTGTTATTGTGTTGTTTCTTGTTTACCAGATGACATGCCATAGCTTAGTTCTACAGTACATGGTGGTCTATTTTTCACTCAATAATGCCTATGACATTAATTGGATTTTTGTATCGTTTTGTTTCCTTCACCAGCAATTCACGTCCAGCTCAGAAGTTGTTTTCAGAACTTATCCGGGAGGCTCATGTTTCACTGCATAGATGCAACGTGGAGCAGCTGGCCATCACAAACGGCACCTCTCCTAGAACTGAGCAAACCCAAACTAAAACCACTACTTTGAAAAGCAATGAACAAGATGTTCCCAGAAGGGACAGTAGATCTGTCAAAACAAATAGTGTCCCATCTGCAAAGAACAGTGAAACTGTTCAAACAAAGAGGAAAGTTAAGGAGAATAAGGACCTTTTGAATTCAACAAACTGCAAAGACAATGTAAGGACTGATAATTCTGAGTTACATAATGATTCTCCAGCAGTTTCCCAGAACTCCTCGGTGGAATCAGACCACCAACATCAGCTCAAAGCTCTATCGGAGGGAAAAGAAAAGCAGCATAAACGTCCAGTGCCCCTGCCTCTGCCAGCTCTTGCTCGTTTTTTGAAGCAGCATTCAACAAAATCTAAAAAGACCAAGAGCAAGCTGGATTCTCCACCTCAAGCAATCCCATCTGAACATTCATCTAATTCAAAGAGTTCTGCTGCAGCTCCCACATGTCCACAATCTGACCCCTTCGTTAAAGCAACTGATCCTTCCAAAGACCCTACTGGTGATATCACAAAATACAACAACCTGGCTTCTGGACATGCTAGTGAACATCATCTGGATGAAATAGATTTAAATGTTACAGGACAAGCAGGTAAAACCGCCAATGAACAATCCAGTCCATCATGTTCAGATGACAATGCAACTACAGGCCCAAACGGACTAAGCACTGAAGATTTCCTGGCCTCAGTTTCAGTAACTGAATGCAACAGCCCTGTGGGACAAGATGGTACACCAGTGTTACCTAATTTTTATCAACCATTTTGTACCCTTGGGACATCTTTATCCACCATTTCGTCAACTCTTGCTACCTCCTCTGAATCTCCTATTTGGTCACCCACCCATGACACAGTGTTACCTGCCCCAAACTTTTCACTAACCCAAACCATCAATGACTCCTCCACACTACCTTCAGACTCCCCTACTAGTAAGTCTGATTCTTTGCTACCTGACCCTGAGTGTTCTTCATTTGCTTTTGAGGAATTGTCACCTGCAAGCTCTCCAGAACCTTTACCTTCCCTGCCTCTCTCGTTAGCTCTAGAATTTGACTGCAGTACTTCTGAACCACCTCCACAAGCAGTATCTCCTGAGGAGTTGCAGCACAGCGAAGCATCTGTGTTCAAATGGCATACAGTGTTACCTCTACCTAAGCCGTACATAGAAACTTCACTCACTACATTTCAGCCCACACCAGAGACTCTACCTTTAGTGTCTGTTGCTTCACATTTTTTGCCTTCCCAAACACCCTCCCAATCTGAACCACAGGTTATTGACACCTCCACATCCATGGCTCCCCTTGATCCTGGTCCATCATTTCAAGAAAACGTACAGTTGCTCCCATTCCCTGCTCAATTGTCCCCCCTCGCCCTTCAGTTGCCGATGTCTCCAACTTTTTCCTCCTTAGATGGAGATGAACTGTCACCTACGCCTTCAATCGCCGAACTTGTGTACTTTTTCTCCAACGATCATGACCTCGGGATGGAGTTTTCAAACACAGAGGCAATAGACGTTCCCTGCTCACCGCCGAGTAAAGTAGAAGCAAATGCACAAGAGCCTTCTCCGCAGGTGCAACCAATTCCAGCCAAAAGGACCTGCAAGCAGAAGAAGAAGTCCAGGCAGCGAAAGTTAGTGGATGTAGATCAGGATATTGATCCCTCATACGGTAGAATGCATCCCAACCTGGAGGAAGTAGAAGAGCAGTTATTTATTTCATTCACTTCAAAGGTAAGAACTTACTGTTATATATGTTTATGTCTTTGGCATCCAGTTCCTAAAATACAGCCATGAGTTGGCAAGATTGAAGTCATTGGCCGATATTAACATGCCCCCTTATAAATCGAGAAACAAATGCTTTGATGATAACAAGGATAAGATTCAGAAGTTTTTCCAAGTAGACATGGATATATTATAAGCATATTTAGCGTTTTTCTAGTTAGTTCCTGTTTGGTGCAATGGAGCCTCTAGTTATACCAGTAACCCAATATTCAGGTTGGTAATGAAGGGGCTTACTCAATGTACTTTACAGAACATTTAAAACCAAACTCATATTTTAGGAGGCTCTCAAACTTCACCTTGCGGACTCCTCCGATGGACCGGAGTCACAGCCTCAGACGACACCTGAGGGACCCGTGCTACAACAAATTACTGACACACCTGAGAACGGTAACACAGAAATGATCATGTGACTGAAATCATATTACATTTTCCAATCGTTTAAAATGTGCAGATAAATGGTAAAGTAAGAATATGGATATCAGTTTAATCTGTGTAAGGTACAGAGAAAGGATGTGTCTATCCCAGTTTAGCCTAAAGACTGGGGGGAAAGAGCATAATAAATACAACAGAAACTAGGGCTAGCTTAAAGCCACTAGACCTAGAGGTTAACATACATTTTATAGGACTAGAAACTTTAATTAAACTAATTCCCCCCAGAAACTGACACCAAACTTACTCTAAACTAGAAACTGAACTAGCCAAGTTAACTGGACCAAGAGCGTTATGCAAGCTATCAGAACCTATAGCTAGCTTATGGCTGAACACCACTTAGTAACTAACAGGACGCAGAAGCTCAGTCCAACAAGAACAAGAAACAAGCTATAAAATCCTATTATACAATTTGTATTATGTGGAAGATGCTGTTTGGACTTAGCTTGGCTATCAACGTCCAAGACATTTCAACAAGCTCAATGATCTGATCGTTAGTATAATGAAAAGTGGATAACATGACATTTATTTCTTCAGTAGAGACAACAGATGAAATTCGGAGGATCGCTGCCTTCGAGAAGATTCTCCTGAGAGACCTGAAGCTGCTGAGACACAGACAGGTGATCCATCCTGTGCTGCAGGAAGGTATGTCAGACTGTATTTAATGAAGTATTTAAAACCCTTTTTGTTTTCTCACATTATAGTGTAGAAATAAAAATATATATATATTAAACAAAGACATATTTTGGAAAATCTAGAAATAAATATGTTAAAGTATGTGTATTACACTACAGTAGATAAAATGGAAGATGGAAAAACATATTTAAACTATAATATATGACAATGTGAATATCATTAAAATCATTTTATTTCTCTGTAAACTCAGTGGGTCTGAAGATGAGTCAGCTGGATACGACTCTGGCCATAGACCTGCAGTACCTGGGAGTCCGTCTGCCCATCCCCCCCCCTGGAGTCTCTCTGGAGCCGCTGACCAAGGAGCTGCCTCCACCTCCAGGTACTTCATAATGACCCAACTTGGGTTTAGATCAGGGGTGTCCAAACTATGGCCCAGGGGCTAAATGCGGTCCCAGGGGCTAAATGCGGTCCCCGGGCCGTAGTTTGGACTGAAATTTGAAATCAGAGTTGGATTTGATTACGTCATAAACAACATACACATAACACATCAGTTCCATTAATCCACTTTAAAGCAGCTGAAGGACGTTTTCAGCTTTTAAATATGTGCCTTTACGCTGTAGGAGAAATCCTCAAATCGGCTGTTGCGTAGTAACTTACTGTTGTTTTCTTATTTCCAGGTATTTCTGCAGCGTTTGTGTCCAGAACAGGAAAAACGACCGATGTGACTCAGATTAAAGGTTGGAGAGAGAAATACACTCCATCAGAGGCTCCGCCCACTCCGACACCAACAACACCTGAAGGTAATCACAGCTTGAAACGAATTACCAAGAAAAACAATTGCAAAAATCTTAATAAATAATGTAAACTTTGGGATTTTAGCCTTTGCAGACCATTTATATGCACAAAAACCTGTATTACACACTACAGGAAAGGGAACACCCCAAAAAAGCACCTCTTTAAATAAATAATTGTCTCAGTGAAGTTGTGTAACATTTTGTCTTAATATTTTTCTCATGTCCTGCAGCTGGTCCCAGTTCAGACCCACCAAAGAAGAACCTGTCTGCGTTCTGCAGCGACATGTTGGACGAGTATCTGGAGAACGAAGCGAAGCTGATCGACGAGCGAGCCGACAGCTTCTCTCAGTCTGCCGTGGAGCCGCTGGTGTACGAGCTGCCCACCAGGAGCACCAGCTACGTCCGGACCCTCGACAGTGTCCTGAAGAAACAGACCTCCTGCTCCCCCACATCAGACCTCATATCTGGATTCATCCCGCCCTCAAAGAGACCCAAGCTCACGCTCAAAGAGGCGAAGAAACCTCGGAAAGAGAAGCTGAAGAGAGGTCCAAAACCGAAAAACAGAGAAGAACCACTTCCAGGTTCAACACCTTCTCCAAGTCCTACTCAGTCAAACCTGCTCCCGAAACAACCTGGACTCCATATCCCAGCAGCCCCCTCTCCATCAGAGCACACAGCACCTCTCCCTGTACCTCTAAAACCAAGAAAACAACACCTGAAAGTGCGATTCAACGAACCAGAGCCGTCACCTCTGCCCCATCAACCCAAGCTGAGGAAGCTCAAACCCAAGCCCTCGTCTCAGACCCTCAGCCTCAACCCGGCCCCGCCCCCTGGGGTCTTCGAGGATATGGCCCCGTTGGAGTCGGACTCTGAGCTCGTGGATCCTGAATCCTGCAGGACAGAGAGCGGTCCTGTGATGACCCGCGCTCTGCTGAGGCAGAAGGACCTGGAGGACGCCATGCTGTGGGAGGGCCTTCCTCGGACCTCCATCACTAAGGAGAGGGCTGCCATCGCTCTGACGTCACTGTTCACACTGAAGGTAAGACATCAGTACTTTTAAGGATTGTTTTCAAAGTTTCTCATGATGTTTTTATATGCCCGCTGGTGAAATGAAGAAAAGCAGTACGATTGTGTATATAGTGATAATATGGAAATGAATACTATACAGTATTATATTTATTTCCTCTTTTCTATATTGAGCACTTTTGGTACTTATTTTGATTTTAACTAGGGCCGGGACTCGATTAAAAAAATTAATCTAATTAATTAGAGGCTTTGTAATTAATTAATCGAATTAATCGCATTTTTAATCACATATAAATATTTGACCTGAGAACAGTGAGAAGCAATTTTTTTCGCATGGATTTTAGTATACCATTAGGCGCATTCACACCGCAGTACTTTTCCCACAAAGGTTCATGAGAATTTAGTTCATGAGAACTCTTTGAACCTGGGGGTGGATTAGGCAAATGAAGCCGCTGACGTCACTTCTTCTTCTTCTGCTTCAGTAGAAGCTGCTGGGAGTCCCAGCAGCCTTCCGAGTAAATCGCCAGAACGCCGACACCTCCTCATCTCCACCGCTCCCATGTTTTATTTTGTGTTGCCATAAGTTAGTCTCTCTGCGTTTCTGCGCTGGGCTAATGCTAATAATGCTAATGCGAGGATAATAAAATTCACAAAACTCTTTGGGAGTTTTACGGGGCGTGGTTTGCAATCCGCCCAGCCAATCAGAAATATAGCTCTTTTCTCACAAGAGAGCCGTACGAAAGTCCCTGCTCTCTAGCAGCTCTCTGCTCTCTAGCAGGGACTTTCGTGGGGGTAAAAAGGTTCTCATGAACTAATTTTAGTACCGGCTCTTTTTGGTGTGAACGCGATAAAATAATAATAATTTCAATTTATATAGCGCCTTTCACGAAACCCAAGGACGCTTTACAATGTCCACGCTAGCTTCCACGCTAGCTGCTATATGTTTTGCATTGAGGTGATACTTGAGGCTTGATGTGCTGCGGTGATATGCGAATTCCTTTTTGCATAATTTGCACACAACCGTGCTCTTATCGACGCTTCCATCCGTCCATTTTTTAAAACAACATTTCCCACTGTTGTTCACTGTGGTTTGTTGTTGTCTGAAGTCATGAACGTTAGTTGGTGCTCCAGTATAATCGGTACGCCTGAAACTCATCCAGTGAGAAACGTTCCGCAGTGCAAAAATAAGTGCGATTAAAATGCGTTAATTTTTGTGTAATTAATTAATCTTAATTAACGCGTTAAAGTCCCGGCCCTAATTTTAACACTTGGCACAAGTAAGGGCACCTTAAGAGTCAAAGGTTTTATTGTCATATGCACATTAGTTACAACGTTATTTTAGTCCCAGGCTCCCCCAACAAGGCAAAATACTTAAGACATCAAAACAATGCAAGAAGAAATTAAAGCAAAAAGTAGAAACAGAGATAAATTAATTTTTGGGTTAATACTTAATCAGAGGTAGACATTAAGGGTGAAAAGCCACTGGCCCTCCAGGCCGGTGGAATTGTATTACCACTGGCCCCACCATTGTAACCACTGGCCCGGAGCATTCGTCCAAAAAAATCGACTAATAATGAAGAAAATTAACACATTTGTTGCAATAGTAATTTATGCACTAACTACATTACTACTTGTACTACAACATTTGAATCATCAGTTCTTCCTCATTTTCCTCAATATTCATATTTGGTTTATTAAAATAATTATATTGTGGTCATTGCTAAAAAATGTCTGCTATTATTATGAGTATTAGTATAATGCGCTTTCTGCCTTCCTGTCATTAGGAGTTAGAAAATGTAATGGCTATATTAGATTAGATCCTTCATTATCCTAAACTGCTGGGACATTTCCCTAAAGCCAATACCTTTATATTGTCTACTCTTCACTTACTTGTCAGCATAGGTCGGCATTGATGTACAGAGCCGACAGAAGACCTTGTTTATATTGGCATCGTATTGAGAGGTGCAGTGACGCGTCCTAAAACCAGGAAGTAAGCTGCTGGTTCCCTCGACAAAAAGCAATGGGATTTCTCCACAGGGTTTTGGAAAATAGCTGGAAATAAGGTCTGTGGAAAACAAACCTGTTTGATAAATGCACGTTTTGTTCAGCCGGATAATCTCCACATGTCTTTTATCATTTTCGAATCATAAATGTAATCGATAGATTATAAAAGGGTTTTAGGACGCGTCACTGCACCATTAGAAGCCAACTCCATCGATCAAGCTGCTGAAACTTTCTCTCCCTCTTCTTCTCATGCTCCCTGTCACTCTCCTTTAACTCCTCCGGTGACTTTCTTTTATTTGAAGATTGTTTTTTGCCCGGCGCTTGGCCGGTTACCGCTGGTATTAAAAACATTTTGGCGAATGGTTAGGTCGCACGATAGTCTGTAGTGAAGGAGCGCGCTCCCGCTCACGGGAGCCTGCTCGCGCTGCGCTCCGCAGCAAACAGCTGTTTGCTTTTCACCCAACAACGACAACCGACTCACGGAACGCTTTGTTGTAGCGCTGATAAACGAAACAATTTAACTAAATTGCTAGTCAAAATACCACAGGACCATTTTTTTTTTTTAAAGCAATATTTTTAGTGGCCCGAGCGGGCAAGTGGAAAGTACGTTATGCTGGCCCGGGGTGTCTAAATAGTGCTTCCGGGCCAGCGGGCCATTTATAATGTCGAGCCCTGCTTAATGACTCAAATAAGATTCTGCAGAGAGAGGTGAACTGTACCTGTCTGAGTCCAGGTGGTTTTCCTGACTCCTCCTCCTCCTCCTCTGGTTCCTCCTCAGGGTTTCGTCATTGAGAACCCCACCGCCCCCATCCAGCTGGTGCGGAGGCCAGCCCCCCCCTGCCTGAACGAGTCCTGCCGTCTGGGCTGCATCTGCTCCAGCCTCGCTAACTGCTCCACGATCACCCACTGCGGCCGCCCCGCCTGCATGCTGGGCTGCAGCTGCCTCAAACAGAAGGTGGTGCTCCTCAAGAACCTGGACGGGTCAGACTCCAGCCCCTCGCAGCCCGGACACAAGAAGAAGAGGAGGAAGAGGAGGATGAAGATGGCCTACGGTGAGTTCAACACTAGCTACATCTCTATTGATGCTGCAGAAATCTGCTTTTTCCTTTACTGTAGTGTGTTGTATAGGTTTTTGTGCATGTAAATGGTCTGCAAAGGCTAAAATCCCAAAAGTTATTAGTTTACGCTGTTCCACATTGTACGTGATTGGCTAAGGGGCGGGACATCTCTAAGATGGTTGTCCAATCACATCAGAGCTGGCCAGCCAACCAATCCGAGCAGACTGGGCTCTGGTTTCAGACAGAGGGTGAAAAGAGGTGCTGCAGTATGAGAAAAATAAAGAGATTTTTTAACATTAAAGCATCGAGACATGTCACAGAAGAGACACTACATACTGATATACACCTGAACATCAGCAGGAGAGGACTCTTTAAAGTAGAGACGCTACATACTGATATACACCTGAACATCAGCAGGAGAGGACTCTTTAAAGTAGAGACGCTACATACTGATATACACCTGAACATCAGCAGGAGAGGACTCTTTAAAGTAGAGACACTACATACTGATATACACCTGAACATCAGCAGGAGAGGACTCTTTAAAGTAGAGACGCTACATACTGATATACACCTGAACATCAGCAGGAGAGGACTCTTTAAAGTAGAGACGCTACATACTGATATACACCTGAACATCAGCAGGAGAGGACTCTTTAAAGTAGAGACACTACATACTGATATACACCTGAACATCAGCAGGAGAGGACTCTTTAAAGTAGAGACACTACGTACTGATATACACCTGAACATCAGCAGGAGAGGACTCTTTAAAGTAGAGACAATACATACTGATATACACCTGAACATCAGCAGGAGAGGACTCTTTAAAGTAGAGACACTACATACTGATATACACCTGAACATCAGCAGGAGAGGACTCTTTAAAAGTAGAGACACTACATACTGATATACACCTGAACATCAGCAGGAGAGGACTCTTTAAAGTAGAGACACTACATACTGATATACACCTGAACATCAGCAGGAGAGGACTCTTTAAAGTAGAGACACTACATACTGATATACACCTGAACATCAGCAGGAGAGGACTCTTTAAAGTAGAGACACTACATACTGATATACACCTGAACATCAGCAGGAGAGGACTCTTTAAAGTAGAGACACTACATACTGATATACACCTGAACATCAGCAGGAGAGGACTCTTTAAAGTAGAGACACTACGTACTGATATACACCTGAACATCAGCAGGAGAGGACTCTTTAAAGTAGAGACACTACATACTGATATACACCTGAACGCAGGAGAGGACTCTTTAAAGTAGAGACACTACATACTGATATACACCTGAACATCAGCAGGAGAGGACTCTTTAAAGTAGAGACACAACATACTGATATACACCTGAACATCAGCAGGAGAGGACTCTTTAAAGTAGAGACACTACATACTGATATACACCTGAACATCAGCAGGAGAGCACTCTTTAAAGTAGAGACACTACATACTGATATACACCTGAACATCAGCAGGAGAGGACTCTTTAAAGTAGAGACACTACATACTGATATACACCTGAACATCAGCAGGAGAGGACTCTTTAAAGTAGAGACACAACATACTGATATACACCTGAACATCAGCAGGAGAGGACTCTTTAAAGTAGAGACACTACATACTGATATACACCTGAACATCAGCAGGAGAGGACTCTTTAAAGTAGAGACACTACATACTGATATACACCTGAACATCAGCAGGAGAGGACTCTTTAAAGTAGAGACACTACATACTGATAAACACCTGAAAGAGAGCAAAGAATGTCCTCTTTATAGGTTTAATGTACAACAGAGAGGATGCAAAGACATTCTTTTACATTGTTACTGTCTTTATACAGTTACATATTATAATGGATTAAACCTCCCTTCTTGTTAATCACCTTCCTGTTGTTTGAATTTGTAGTCCTCAAGGAGGCGGACAGCGTTTCCCAGCCTGCCGAGCGGGTCCGGACTCTGTGGAAGAGAGACGCTACAGACCCAGATCCAGACCCGATGCACACACCTGGACCGCCACCTCTCACCCACCCCACTGTAAGAACTGTTTATAATAAATAGTGATGGTACAGGCTCAGTTTGTCTGTTATTATTAGTGGTGCACGATAATTATCGGTCCGATATTAGGAATTATGACGTCATCCCGATAAACCCGATAAAAGTATTAATAGCCCCGATAATATACAATATATGTTTTGGGTAAAAAAAAGAAAGAAATACTGCGGTGTGGGTGGATTGGGATGAGGGGCGCTTGTTTTTCACTCGGCTCCTCCCGTTTTGCCAGTACTGTGGTATTAGTGGTTTAGGAAGAGGGGAGTTTTTCACAAATCCAGCGCTCCCTAACTCATGCCTGGCTGTGACGTAAATGGTGTGCGGCCGTGAAGCCAGGACAGTAAACAAACATGTCGCCGGTAGTATGGGACTATTTCAAAGTTTCAGAGTTAGATAGTTCGCTTGCTATTTGTATTAACAAATGCAGAAGATCCACGAGGAGGGAAAAAGGCAACGAGCTATAATACTTCCAACCTGATTAGTCACCTGAAACATCGCCATCGCTACGATGGTGTGTTAAAAGCGTACGAAGACGCCTGCGCTGCTAAACTAGCGGCGAATCCAAAGCCAGCTGCAAAGGCACCGGGGCTTTTACCTATCGACGAGGCTTTTGGAAAAGGCAAGAAGTTTGCCAGAGACGACCCCACGGCTAGTTTTGTTCATAGTAGTAATGCTCATGTCATTTGCTCACTACTAGTCTTTTTTTTACCACCAGGTGTGCAAAAACTACAGGTACATTTAATATATATATATATTATATTATTATCGGTTATCGGTATCGGTCTTGAGAAGCAGGAAGTTATCGGTATCGGTTTCAAAAACCCAATATCGTGCATCCCTAGTTATTATTATTAGCAACAACATGAATGTATAATCACAGTTTCCTCTGTGTGCTCCAGGAGAGGTTAGAGGACAACAGCAGCTGTGCCAGAATCCGAGCCTTCATCGGGAAGAATAGGCGGAGCACCAGGACACTGAAGACTCCTGGTAATCCACAGGTAACACCGCTTTAGACGTAATAACTCGTATAAAACTGTGAGCGTTACACACCTGAACTGTGTCTCAAAATGCTCCAAACTTTATTTGAGATCAACTTCATAAAGAAACCACGCCTTCAGCCGCCCAACATTTACTGAAGCCACATCCACGTTACCTGTTCTTATAGCTAACGGTGTGGAAGTGCATGTAAGCATTAACCACTGAGTGACTGACTGATGTGTTTCTTTCAGGAGATGTCTAAAGATGCAGAGTCTATTAAGGTTGGGCCGAAATCTTTAAAAGGGAAAGGCTCGACATCGAAGAAAACAAAGACCAAATCATCCATTCCTCCATCAGGTAGGTTCCCTGACTCCTCGGCAGCAAACTTATTTACCAGATATGAGATGTAATCAATGCATAAGCTACGCAGGTTGTCATCATACATGTTACACAAGAGAGAAACGTCACATTATGCAATCCTTTATTTCAGAATCAGAAACACATACGAGGAATTTTACTTGGTGTCGTGGTGCATACATAAAAGTAAAACAAAGATTAAAAACACCGATAGAAAACTATTTGAAGGAAACTATAATAACATTAAAAAATATATAGTAAAAAAGAGATATTTTTACAGATATTTACAGCGCTATGTTGCTAAATATAGTACATTTAAAATATGTATTTATTGACTAAACAACGTACTACTCAAGCGGTCGGCAATTGCCGCATAATTCTAGTGCTAAACAACGTCCGTCTGGAGGACAGTGTGAAGGAGGAGAAGTTGCATTTCAATTCAATCGGACTGTTATTAGCAACACGAGCACTGCTTCAGTCCACCTAGGCGCGTTCACACCGCAGTGCTTTTCCCACTTTAGTTCCGAAATGTCGCGTTCACACCAAAAAGAGCCGGAACTAAAATTAGTTCATGAGACCCTTTTCATCCCCTTTACCCCCCAGGTACTTTCATGGGAGAAAAAGGTTCCTATGTCTGATTGGCTGGGCGGATTGCAAACCACGCCCCGTAAAACTCCCAAAACGTTTTGTGAAGCCGCCATTTTATTATCCTCGCATTAGCATTATTAGCATTCGCATTAGCCCAGCGTACAAACGCAGAGAGACTAACTTATGGCAACACAAAAGTAAACATGGGAGCGGTGGAGATGAGGAGGTGTCGGCGTTCTGACGATTTACTCTGAAGGCTTCAGTAGAAGCTGCTGGGAGTCCCCCAACTCCGGGGACTTCGGGCCGGGGACTTCGGGCCGGGGACTTCGGGCCGGGGACTTCGGGCGGCAGTATACGCCGTGAAGTGGTTTGCAGCCTGCCAGTAAACCCAAAGCAGAAGAAGAAGAAGTGACGTCAGCCGCTTCATTTGCCTAATCCACCCTCAGGGACTTATTCCGGTGTGAATGCGATCTGTACTTAGTTCATGAGAACTAAAGAGTTCACATGAACTAAAGTGGGAAAAGTACTGCGGTGTGAACGCGCCTATTGTTGTTGTTTTGATGTAGTTAGGGATATTCACGCTGGTGTTGCAGCGCGCAGGTGTCATGACTGGTTCAAAGTTGGATCAAACCAGTAACTGAATGAAACTCATTGTAATGGGTGTCTAAAGGGGTTTATGTTTGAGGACACAGGGCCTAAAGGAGCAGCATGACTGAATGAAACCTCCTTTATGAATCAAAACGTCCTGATTTGCTAAAGTACACCTGGTGATAGCCCCTAAGAAAAGCACCTCCCTGGAGACATGATGGTAATGATTTGTAATGTTTGGGATTGAAAACGGATTCATAGGGTTCATACTGTTCCCTTATTGCAAAGGTTTACTACTCCCTGTAACTGCAAGTCTATTTCATTGTAACTGGAGGAAATGTCTTCCAAATAAAGGAAACTGATTGATGTTGTGTGTTTCCCTCCAGATCCTCAGCCAGCTCCCTCTCCTCCAGCGAAGCCCTCGAAGCGCCTGATCATCGTGGCCGAGTGTCAGTGGGTGAAGGAGGGCGACCGTAACATGGTTCTCAGGACACTCTGCGAGGCGATGGCTCGGGACAATCTGGAGAAGCCTTTCTGGATCAAAGACTATCTGGTGAGTCCGGTGAGCACGTCGCTGGAGGAGAGCGACGGAGAGCGCTGCATCCAGTTCAAGATGCACATCTCCAGACCCAAACTGACGAAGGAGGAACCAGCGAAAAGCCGAAGACCCCGGAGACCAAAACCTCCCATTAAAGAGAAGACACAACCACAACAGGTAGGATGAAGATTTGTGATTATAATGCAATGTGTGAAACTGTAGGAGAAGAAACAGGAAGTAGCTTTTTGTTTCAGGAGAAAGGAGGTTACTGATATCAATCCATTGCCTCTCCAAATCTAGCACAAACCTTCATAGCTCAACAAAATAGTTTGAAGTTCATTCATAATGTTCGATTTCAAAATCAATATCTGAATGTTTTGCAGCTTGTGTATTCATTCTGTTTAAACCTGTCCAGCAGCAGGCTAACAGCAACATGAATAACATTTATTTACCTCAATAACAAAATCTATTTGACTCCGAAGTAGTTCAGCAAACTAGAATCTTAAATACAGATCTTATAAAGCCTTTAGATTTAACTTCAGAAATATGTTTAAAAGTATTCAAAGTGGATCTTATAACTCTTTCTCTCCCATTTCTACTCTGTAACTAAAGATGAGAATGCCCTAAAAAAGTTGAAATGGGCAGCCACATATCTCACTGTCAGCGCACTTTCTAATCGATCTCTCTTTAAAAAAAAGACTTGATATAATTTTTTAATTATTAAAAAAAGACTAATTTCATCCCGTGAATCACATGATTTTAAAATCATTTTCCAGGGTGATGTAGTTAATTATGGAGCTTCAGTCTACAACACCAACACCACCATTGAATATAAAAAGTGACTTCAGTAAAGACATGCACAACGTGATGATTGACAGTAGGGATGCTCCGATCGATGGAGGCATGTGGCGCAGTGGATAGAGTTGGGATCAGGGGGTCACACGCTCCTGTGGGGATTGTCCACAGTAAAGAGTATGTAAGTCGCTTTGGATAAAAGCGACTAACAAGTATCGGCCGATCGATCGGTGCTCTCTATAAATGCCGATCAGGAGAGCCGATCCCATGACGTAACATACATGACACTTTTCTTTGTGCGCGGCAAAACAAGCTCGCCAAAATGGCTTCACCGGTCTGGCAGTATTTTAAGGTGTCTGAAAATGACAGTAAAATAGCGGTAGGCAACGTGTGTGAAGCAGAAATCCTGCAGCTCCACCCGCTGTGACGGACCGGTGAGCGGAACACACACTAAGAGTTAGACCTAACACACTTAGCTATTTGATCTACCTCTGGAACGAGATAAACTAGTTATACATATATGCATTACTTCACTGTCGGGTCAATCATTACTGGATCAGTGAGCCGCATGAGACCATACCGGTGATCGGCCCCAAAATACCCGATCGGAGCATCCCTAGTTGACAGCAGTCTGTCAGAGAGGTACAGGATGAGAGTTGTTGGTGAACTGTACCTGTCTGAGTTTGTAATCCCCCCCCCAACCCCCCCGTGTTTTTGCACAGGACCCCCCGGAGGAGATGCAGATGGAGATGAAGCCTCCTGAAGATTGGCAGCGAGAGGTGGAGGAGGAGGAAGAGGAGGTGGTGATGGAGGAAGTGGAGGAGGAAGAGGAGGTGGTGATGCAGGAAGTGGAGGTGGTGATGCAGGAAGTGGAGGAGGAAGTAGAAGAAGCGAAACCTCTTGAGGATTGGCAGCGAGAAGTGGAGGAAGATGACATAGAGGAAGAACAGGAAGCGGGATCAACGAATCACCAGGTGCATGATGGGAAACAGATCAGAAGACAGGAAGTGATGTCACGGGAGAAGAGTAAAATGATGGGGAGTTTGGGTCTGCCGTTCCTCGCCGGAGTTTCCCCCGCCGGCTTCCTGTCTGCCGACACCAAGCAGCCGGGGAACACCAATCACACCGTCCACGTGAGACATGACTGCAAACCGCATGAATATTAATGAGGATCTTATGGGGGGGGGGAGAAGTATTTGGATAATTTACTTAAGTATTCAGACTGTAAAAACTCAGGAGTAAAAGTCTTGCTTTGGAAATGTTACTGAAGTAAAAGTTAGTTTAGAGTAATCAGCCAAATTGAGTTAAAATACTTCACATAAATGCAGAAAATCTTAGTGTAAATAAAAGAAAAACACCTTAAAAACAAAAAATAGGTACAAATGACTGAGGCCAAATAACTACCTCTAGCTGTTCTTGTATAAACTGTTGGCTAGTTTAATTTATAACAAATGGTTTGAATTTATGCAAAAATCTTGTTTAGTCAATAAAATGACTCGTAAGAAGCTGTCTGATCGATGCATCCCTAAAATACTCTTCCATATGTGTATTTAAAGACGAGGCAAAATGGAAATAATGCATGCGTGGAAGATAAAAATATTGAATGTCCATTTTCTTTGTTTCTCAGGTGAACGGTAAACCCTATCCTCTGGCTAAGATCCAGCTGGGGAAGATGGGAGCGCTCCATCCGGCCAATCGGCTCGCAGCGTACCTCACCGGCCGCGTGGGGAATAACAGGAAGCAGCAACCACCCTCTCAACCCCCTCAGAGTTCAGTGCTGACCCCCCCTGAAGTCTACTCTAAACCTCCTCGGAGGATAGCTCCAGGCCCCCCTAATCCCCCCCTCTCAACCTCCTCAGAGTTCAGCGCCAACCCCCCCTGAAGTCTACTCTAAACCTCCTCAGAGTTCAGCTCCGACCCCCCCTGAAGTCTACTCTAAACCTCCTCAGAGTTCAGCTCCGACCCCCCCTAAAGTCTCCTCTCAACCTCCTCGGAGGATAGCTCCAGGCCCCGCTCTGACCACCCTTAAAGTCTACTATCAACCTCCTCAGAGTTCAGCACCGACCCCCCCTAATCCCCCCTCTCAACCTCCTCAGAGTTCAGCACCGACCCCCCCTAATCCCCCCTCTCAACCTCCTCAGAGTTCAACACCGACCCCCCCTAATCCCCCCTCTCAACCTCCTCAGAGTTCAGCACCGACCTCCCCTAAAGTCTCCACTCAACCTCCTCAGAGTTCAGCACCGACCCCCCCTAAAGTCTCCTCTTCTTCTTATGTTGTGCCCGCCCCCGCAACACCATATCGGCAAACAGTCACTATGCGCTTCCACGAAAGTGCCCACTCAGGTAAACACTTTTATTCTATTTTTACAACCTTATTTTTGTAGTTTTTGCACAAAATGTACTCAAACAAAAAAGCACGTTACTCCCAGATAATATTGACAAAATAAAAGATCCCTGTTCTTGAGTCAGTGAAGTGAGTGTTTATCTGTACGGCAAACATATTTCCCCTTTCTGTGTGTTGCAGTGACCGGAGGGAAGGTCGACCAATCAGCTGCCTCGTCTGACTGGCCCGCAGGTAAGGCTCCTGAATTTTGCGCTAATCGACATTCTGTTAATTCAAGATTCAAAGGTTTTATTGTCATATGCTCAAAGCGACAGTGTAGAAATGGCAATGAAAATCTTCTGACCTGAGCTCCTCCAACGATGCAACATATATAATAAAATACAGACATATAAAATCATAAATAGTGCAAGAAGTCTATATTCACGTAAATTGCATATGATATGTACAAGAACAGAATGTCAAATTTAAATATCGGACATTAAGACAACATTTAAATACGGTTTATTACGATGATAACCAACGATGTGTAATGTAAGTCAGTAAAAGTGGAAAACATCAATACATATCATATTTCCATTCCATTCCATAATAGCCTCTTGGTGCATCAACAGCAATGTTTATTACGGTGCACGGTACCGGTTGAATAATAAATGCTCTCTGTTGTGTTTCAGGCTCCGCTCCTCCTGCTCCTAAAGACTCTCAGCTGATGCTTCAGGAGCAGAGGATGCTTCAGATCTCTCCTCCTGCGAAGCTTCCTCAACCATCTCCAGCTCCCTGTCCTCCGCCCCTCTCCCCTTCCTCCTCTTCCTCCAGCACCCCCTCCTCCACTCAGAGGTTGGTGCTGCAGTCGGTGAAGATGGCGTCCGGTCGACAGTTCTTCCGTAAGCCGGACGGTAAACTGGTCCAACTGGTTCCCCTCAGCCAACTGAGAGCCAACAAGAACCTGTTTGTGCAGCAAAGTGAGTACAAGTGTAAATATGTTCATTTTAAAACACACAGTATTTCAGAATCCAGTTTATTGACAGGTTTGTTTACACATTTGTTTCGGTGTATGTTGGTGCAAACATAAACAATATAGGAAAATAAGTTATAGGAGAAAGTCATTTACACCTAATTTAAAGGTCTCCTATTATGCAAAATGCACTTTCTGATGTCTCTTATACATCAACATGTGTCCCCGGTGTGTCGGGGAACTCACGCAGCGTCAGGAAATAAAACCCTCTCTCTTTTCCTCCGTACCCAAATCTCTAAAAACGGGGAACAACGGAGCTGATCCAGATTTGCGTCCGATATGACGTAATATCTGAAATGTGGACCCACGGCTAGGGCTGTGCGATTATGGCAAAAATCATAATCACGATTATTTGGGTCAATAATTGATATCACGATTATTCATTGACCATTTATTGAACTTTAAAACAAATAATATTTTACCAATAAACAAGATCAATAAATGTGTTGGAGCACACTTCCAAAACCATACTAAACATATATTAATATGATAAATAAAAATAAATTAGACCAAAATAAATGAAATCAAACATGTTGCAGTGCACTGTCACAACCTACTGAACACTCCTTAACATATAGCCAACATTTTGGTTCAACATATTCAACATATTCCACTCAGTTAAACGTTGAAGGCTGGCCCACCGTCATGGTCCAGAAGTAACAGGAAATAAATGTTGAATTACAATTTAAGACCAAATAAAAATGTTTTGGCCACCATGGCAAATGCTGGTAGGGCTGCTCGTGTCATCTCTTAAAGATTTTTTGCAAGAAATACCAGCCTGTTTACATGGTCTGGTTTCAGAGATGAGCGCAGGCAGGTGACGATATTGCCACCTGTACTGAAGACCCTCTCTGAAGAGGAACTTGTGGCAGTGCTGCTACATATGACACAGGAAAAAAAGAAAATACTCTGAAGAACCCTTTCTTTGCCATTATATAAAAATAGTGTTGCTACAAAAGTATAAATGAGGCTTACTAATAAGACAACTCAGATCTGAAGCTACACAGGAATCTGCTGCAACAGTGCAATAAAAAAGACAACATTAATAGAATCAAACCCTTTTTTTGTTGCATTTTATTAGAGTATAAAAATAAATGCCTTTTAAAATAGGATGCGAGCAACACTAGTTTCTGAACTGATAGACTATAATCAATTTAAACAGAACAGATCTTAATGTTTGCATTCTTATACCATTTTGTACAATAATTATCATGAATAAATTCAAACAAACTAAAACTTACAGCTGATTAATAACGGTATCTAAATTGAGTTTTTATTATATCAAAAACCTGTTGAAATGCTACTGTTATTTGTACTGTCCCACAAAAGCGCGTCGCACCCTCCAGGAAAGCTTCTTTCATAACTTCGCCGTCTTCGAAAGACTTCATGTGTTTCTCAAGAACGTGACTGACACGATAAGATGCTATGGTATGCTATGCCGACTGTTTTGGACGTAATATGGTCGGTGTTTACATTAGCATCGCTAACACTCAGAGCTAACCTGTACTGGAGAGCATGTGTGTGAAGAAGCAGGAAGTAAAAAGGAACTCACCTTGTGGTATAACCGGCAAGAGAGAAAGCCTTTGAGCTCCAAACTGTTTCAGAGAGAATCCTTGATAATCCATGATATGGCGTTTCATCACGGCAGCATTTAGTTTAGACAGTAGCTGCCGGGTCCCGCATGAGCTCAGACCCCTCCTTTTTATTTATTTTTAAAGCTTTATACCCAAATCAGCACTTTTGAAACAGGAAGTGAAATAGAGGGATATGAGTGGAATGGGTGATCTGTTTGGTATTTTGAGCAAAACACTTCATAGACATGTTTTTTATATATCTGAGACCTATGCTATTGCCTAAAAATAGCATGATAGGTGACCTTTAAAGAGAGAGAGAGAGAGAGAAAGAAAAAATCCCTATAGGCCCCGCCCACTCGATCAGATCGGCGATCGGCCCCAAAATTGGCGCTCCGAGCATCCCTAGTTTTTAGCTTATTTTCCTGTGTCTTTGTTTCTTCCCACAGTCTTTCCTCCTCCATCGCTTCCAAATACAGTCGTCTTTGCTAAACAACCACCTCCTCAGACCAGCGTACCCTCCTCTTCCACCACCTCCTCCCTCACCTCCTCTCACAACACGAGCCCCACCCTCCTCTCTCAGACGGGGAAGCACACCTTTAAGATCGTCCGGCCCAGATCCAGCGGGGAGTCCGTCGTCGTCACCTCGACTAAAGTTACCCCCAAAGTGGTGACTTCTGCAGGGTCTCAACCCCCCCCCCACCCAACCCCCCCCCCACCACCCAGGTGAACTTCATCTCCCTCAAGCCAGGTCAGGCGGTGGATTTCGGGGTCAAAACAATGACAGTGTCTTCATCTGGAGTCCATCAGAAACCCACCTCTTCAGGAACCAGAGCTCCACCTCCAGAGGTCTTGACCGTCCCCCCTCCAGAGCTGGCCTCCAAACGTATGGATCTGGACATTATCTGTGTGGACGACGACGGCATGGGGCCCCCCTGGTCGGAGACGGAGGGAGGGGGGGGGCAGTCGCTGGACGTGATGAAGGAGGAGGAGTCGAGCAGCGAGTCGAGCAGCGAGACGAACAGCTCGTCAGACTTAGGAGAATATACGGACAGCGACGAAGAGACGAAGCCGAAACTCCAGCAATCGGTAAATATGAACAAGACATAGTAATCGTACATCTTAAGTTTGTCCGGATTTCCCTTTTTCTTTTTTTATACAAAGATAAAATACAAACAGTAAAAAGTACGAACAATACGAACATTAGGGAGTGATCAGGACTTCACAGTAAAATCATACGTTTGTAAAAATAAAATCTGGCTAATGAGGTTTTACGAAATCAGTCCACTTTCTCCATCAAATAGTTCCAGTTTGTGATTGACAGATGATGTTATCCTCTCCATAATATGAACATTTTTAATGATTGTTTTATGAGATTTTGGTATCTTCACCAGGAGTTTGAGGATTACGAAATATGCTAATTTCCAGGTTCATATTTATATTTTGTGTATTTATGTCCCTTTTTTAAAGAAGGGCAATTCAGCAGTTCATACTGGGTGAGACATTAAATCATCCACTGACTTCCAGACATCTTTTGCCCAATCATATTCCAGTACAAGCGCTAGCCAATCAAACCACGTATGTCCGAGGCGGGAGATGTGATTGGTTGTTAGTCGCACGCCAGACAGGCCCGCCGGCAAGCTTCAACGCGACGCTGCCGTGTGGACGCACCGTTTGGCCACCATGAAAATGTGCTTCGAGGCCTCTCCCACCCTTTATCATTTCTAAAGTGTTAATGCGATCTCCAGAAGAAGAAAAGCTAACGTTAGGCTATGAAGGAAGTAGGGAACAGGAAGTAGGAAAATGCTGAGTTTCAGGACTACTTTCCTGCACCTCTCTATTGGAGTCAGAAATGTCCCTGAAGAGTCACGAATATATGATCATATATTGCATATTGTATATAATCAGATTAGGAAAAAGTACTCTGATCTTGTACTTGAGTAAAAGTAGAAGTACTCAGATCTTGTACAAGAGTAAAAGTAGAAGTACTCAGATCTTGAGTAAAAGTAGAAGTACTCAGATCTTGAGTAAAAGTAGAAGTACTCAGATCTTGAGTAAAAGTAGAAGTATTCAGATCTTGTACTTGAGTAAAAGTAAAGGTACTCAGATCTTGTACTTGAGTAAAAGTAGAAGTACTCAGATCTTGTACTTGAGTAAAAGTAGAAGTACTCAGATCTTGTACTTGAGTAAAAGTAGAAGTACCAGAGTGTAGGAATACTCTGTTACAGTAAAAGTCCTGCATTCAAAATGTTCCTCAAGTAAAAGTAGAAAAGTATTATCATCTAAATATAGTGAAAGTAGCGACAGTAAAAGTAGTCGTTGTGCAGATTGGTCCATTTCAGAATAATATATATGATATGTTTTATAATGATTGATCATGAAAGTGTTCTCAAAGCTGGTGAAGGTGCAGCTAGTTTGAATGACTTTGTATACTGCAGGGTAGCTGGTGGATTTACTCCAGGTGGAACTAAAGTCTGATTCAACACTTGATTATATTTCACATCATTCATCCAGATCTGTGAAGCAACTAAAGGTATTAAATACATGTAGTGGAGTACAAGTACACCATTTACCTCTGAACTGTAGTGAAGGAAAAGTACACCATTTACCTCTGAATTGGAGTGGAGTAGAAGTACAAAGTAAAATCAAACGGTTACTTTACACCACTGATTATAATACATGTTGTTTTCGTTCTTTCCGCAGCGCCACCTGCACAACGCGAGGGAGAAACAGCGTCGGAAGGGGTTGCAGACTAAGTTTAATGCTCTGAGTCGAGAGTGTGGCCTGAAGGAAGACAAGAGTTCAAAAGTCTCCACACTGAACACGGTGAGACATCTTCAAACCTGCACACAGCATTCCCTCTGTTCATTCACATCATACCGCTCACTCAGATATCACGCTTTAGGTTATTGAGGTATTCGAGTGTGAAGAGTAAAAGCTGGGAGGAGACCGAGGGGTAGACCTAGGACCAGGTGGAGGGATTATATCTCTTCGCTGGCCTGGGAGCGCCTTGGGATCCATTACATTACATTACATTGCATTTAGCTGACGCTTTTGTCCAAAGCGACTTACAATAAGTACATTCGACCAGGAAGACACAACCTTGAAGAAAACAGAATCATATAAGTATATCAGGTTTCATAGAGCCAAACATTTCAAGTGCTACTCAACTGGCTTTAGGTAATCCAGTCCTTTATTGGTATAAAAGTGCTTCGTTAATCGTTCTAACGCTCGAAGTGGAGTCGAAAGAGATGAGTTTTCAGTTTGCGCCGGAAGATGTGCAAGCTATCTGCCGTCCTGATGTCAATGGGGAGCTCATTCCACCATCTTGGATCCCCCAGTCAGAGCTGGTTGATGTCGCCAGGGAAAGGAACGTTTGGGGCTCTCTGCTGGAACTGATACCTCCGAGACCCGACCACGGATAAGCGGGAGAAGATGGATGGATGTATTCGAGTGTGAAGAGTAAAAGGTGTTTTGTTTGTATCCCAGGCGAGTAAGTTGATCAAGCAGCTGAGGCTGACTGAGACCGATCTAGAGGAGAGGAAGAGGATGCTGACGAAGCAAAGAGATAACTTCATCAAATTCATCGCTCCGACAACAGGTAGGAACACAGAACTCTGGTTATACATGGAGAGAAAAAGAAAAATCATAATAATACAAATAAACAACGTAATTAAATACATTAAATAATAACTAATTAAAAAACATAATAATGATGATTAAAGAAATACAAATATTAATAAAGACATTTATAATAATGATAAATAACATATTTTTATAAATTAAATAATAACATTAAAAACATAAGTAAAGTAATTTTATATAATACATTAAAAGCCCCCCTTTTTAATTGTGCTATTGTTTGTTGGAAAAGTGGAGATACTAGTAAATACCAGTGATAACAAATATATTTTAATGCCTTTTTTATTTGTTAAACGTGGAAGAACATGTAAAAGGCCAGGGCTTGGAATTGAAAGCATAATATAATATTAATACATAAGGTAATTCGATAAATGCAATAATAATAATTAAGAAAAGGATCTGTTATTTCCTCCTCAGTCCATTTTACTGTTTCTCTCTCTGTTGTGTTCAGAGTCAAATCAGCTGCTTGTGTTTTTGTTTTCAGAGGAGATTGATCAGATGAGCCGTAAATATAGATCTCCAGAGTCGACAGAGAGCGACGTGGAGGAGGAACTGCTGGAGGTGGACGAAGTGACGGAAAACTCGTCAAACGATGAGATCCTCGTTACCAAGAAGAACAACGTAAGAGATACTTATTTTCTAGCCAAATGAAAAAGATGGGTCTTCAGTTTTAAAAGCTTGCAGACCGGATGTCTGTAGAGCGGTGCAGTGACGAGTCCTAAAACCCAGAAGTGAGTCAGCATTTCACCACTTCCTGTTCCCTCGTCTCAGAGCCAATGGGATCTCTCCGTAGGATGTGGGAAAATAGCTGGAAATCAGGTCTGTGGTTGAGACTCATTGAAGAGACGGATCACGTTTTGTTCTACGACATTAAATCCATCAGCAGTGACCCCACTGGTGATTTCTGAAGAGTTTCCGTGTCTGAGAAACGATGGTTGTTACCAAGTGGCTGAATAGGACTACAGAAGTTGTGGAGGTCGTTGTACGTCATTACGCCGAACACGTAAACACTCCTCTAAGTTAGTTTCTGTTCTGCTTGAAAGCGAGTCCCTGCCTCCTGCAGACTGTTCAAACAAACGCTTCAACTCGTACAACTTTGAATCTGTATGTTTGAATATGGATCTTAAAGGTAGGGTAGGTAAGAACGGAGAAACCAGCTCGAGTGCGCTAGAATTTGAAAATACACAACCGGAAAGAATCTGCCCCTTCCTTCAGACTTCCTCACAGAGCCCCTCCTCCATGGGCTCAGAACAGTCTCATAATACACACATGCGCACAGAAGGATTCACACTTGTGTTTCCGGATCCACACTTGTGTTTTTCAATGCACACACAAATGTGTTCCGTTTCATATACATGTAAATAAAATCCAAATACAGAAAAAAGTTTTACATGTGTATTTTTGATCCACACATATTTGTTTTCCGTTTAAAACCGCTGCACCTGCAAACACACCTTTCAGTGCACGGATCGCTGTGCGTTCGTGTGTGGGTTTTTTGAGACTCCCCTGACGGTAATTCGTACTTGTAATTATTTCTATCTATAGCCAATCAGATGTCTCCTCAATTCTAAGCCAATCACATGAGCGCATGTATATGAAACGGAATACATTTGTGTGTGCATTGAAAAACACAAGTATGGATCCGGAAATACAAGTTTGAATCCTTCTGTGTGCATGTGTGTATTATGAGACTGTTCTGAGCCCATACGCCTCCAACACCCACGAACGCACACATGACCAATGAGGGCACGAGATAAGTTTGTGCCCAGATGGAAGGCTGACAGGCAGGTAGGCCATCCAGTTACTTTAGCCGGCTCAGATGATTGGTCGTGCTTTTCACAGCGCCACGGCTTCCACAGATGAGATGTTTTAATGTATTTATTGTATTACTGTTTGTATTTATAACAAAGTGTTTCTGAAGTGAATTACCTACCCCACCTTTAAGTTGGCGTGACGTTGAAGCCGTGCTGTTGTACTCGCCTGTAGTTCCTTTATAGCATAACGTTAGCATTTAGCTTCTGGCCATTAGATTTATGATTCGAACTTTATAAAAGTAGGGTGGACGTGTGGAGATTATCTGGCTGAACAAAACGTGCATTCATCAAACAGGTTCGTTTTCCACAGACCTTATTTCGAGCTATTTTCCTAAATCCTATGGAGAAATCCTGTTGGTTTTTTGTCGAGGGAACCGGCAGCTTCCTTTCGGGTCAATACGTCATCCCTGCACCGCTCTGTAGGGTCCATAGTGTTGGAGCCACTGCTTCAAAAGGCACGGCCACCTTTAGTTTTCATTATAATACTAAAAGGGGAATTGTTTTTCATTGTTTAGTTTTAAATATTGTATTTTTTGATAAACCAGTAAACAGACAATATAAAATAAGGACATTACATTTCTAACAAAAAATAATAAAGAAATATAATAGTTATTTAATAATAATAATAAATAAATAACAAAAATAAGTTTTAGAAGTAGCAGTCTATTGCTATACATTTATTTTTAAACCATGTGTGTTATAAAAAGTTATTTAAATAAATATGACATTTCCTAATAAAAAGACACATTTTATTAAATTATTTAGTTGTAATTCAGTTCAATCTTGTTCCATGTATCTGTTAATGTTTTGTGTGTGTGTCAGGTGGAGGAAGGTGTTCAGAGTTTTGCCATGGAGACGCTGGTGAAGAGGCGGCGGACGAGGAACAAGAGGAACTCAAAGTAAGAACTGATCATATCATTAAAATATTTTGTATTGACGAAAAAAATGACCAAACAACCGTTGTGTTCTCACGAGACTTGATATATCGTATAAACAAGATCAGCGCCACAGTATCACCTCATACTATATCTTTCTAGAAAAACCCGTGAATGCCTTAAAGCAGTGGTTCCCAACCTGGGGGGCGCCAAAGATCGCAAGGGGGGCCTCAGATGATTTGAAGCCAAATATCATATTTAGACTTTTTTTTAATTTATTTATTTTTTACATATAATTGTAAGGCAATACATGATTGTCACTAAAAGCCTCGTCTCTACATTACAATAATAATAACAAAAATTGATTCATTAATTTGAATAACAATTCAAGTTAGTAGCTATTAAAAGGCATAAATAGGAATGTTTCTTCTGCCCGTAAAGTGTCCAAACCGGGCGTCTCTGGATAAGCGCATTTTTAAAACACAGTCATTGTCCATGCCGGTTTCAGTTGGATTATTTGTCACAGTTGCTCCGATCAGAATGGTCTCTTTTGAATCCACATAAACACATCGGCAAAATCCGGCTTACTTTGAGCATGTGTTTTAAACAGTTGAATCCCTTCGTGAATTGTTTCCACTTCTGCGCCGTCCTTTAATTTCTTCATACAGCGGGAATCCAAATGAATGAATCCTGAGTCCAATAACCATCAAAGTCACTCCAATAGTGCTCCTTGATTACGCTTTCATCCTCCTTTAACAAAATACTTCACATTCATCCAGTTTGTGACAGTAGTTGCAGCATTTTGAGACTTTTTAACTTGAATTACCGCTGTTGCACCCCCCCCATCCCTTGTGTGTGTGTGTGGGGGGGGGGGGTGCAACTTCCAACAGGAGTCATTTGGGGGGCTCTTGGGAAAAAAGGTTGGGAACCCCTGCCTTAAAGGATTAACCGGTGAGTGTAATCTGACATGTCTGTCGTTATGTTGTGTCAACAGAAGCAGTTTGAGACAAATGAAGCCGGTCGATTTTCACAGCAACTCCCCCGCCTTCAAAGACCTGAGCTCCATGGTGAAGTCCAAAGACTCTCCGAAGACTTTTATGCTCAGAGAGGTGAGACAGAAACCAGAGAGACTTCTTCTTTTACTGACTAACTATTTGGTAGTTATGGCCAAGACCCTGTTTAAAAACTTGATCTCAAATAATATGAATTTATAGTATTTAATAGCAGTGTTAGGAAGGCCACATGTTCGCCCTCTAGGGAAGCATCATGTAAACAAACTGGTACTTACTGTATTTGTATTCGGTACACCTGCATCTCAAGCTTTTCTGACAGCTTTACAGTTGCCTTAGGGTGTCTGACTGATACACACACATGCGTTAGTGTAACTTCAGCTTTGTGTACATTAAACACACATTTGAACACAGTTTGTTTTGTGTTTCAGGCTCAGCAGGAGATCCTGAATCTGCAGAACGAGACGGCGAGACTGAAGAGTCTGAAGATCTGTCTGAACCAGAAGAGAGAGAACTTCATCAAAAAGATCAGAGAGAGAACAGGTGAGGAACCAGGTGATGGTTGGGATACAATAGGTATCTTAACATTGCATTTATGTATTTACCTTTACTGAATACGTTTGATTATACTCCTTTTAAATATATAAAGCATTTCTATAAGGAAAAGTTCATCAGGACACGCTTTGCCTAATTTATTTTTGAAAAAGTGAGCTGTATCTATGTATATCGTTAGATAATTAAACGTGTGTGTTTGTGTGTCTGCAGGTAAAACTCAGCAGAGAGTCCAGGGGAGTCTGCAGCACCTGACGTCCAAACACACGACGATTGAGGAGAAGAAGGGGCTCCCAACAGCCAATCAGCTGTCAGCAGAGAGAGGGGGCGGGGCCTCAGACCCTCCAGCATCGAGTGATGACGACATCATAATCACTTCCTCTTTCCCACTGAAAGATCCTCCCCTTTCTGCTCCAATCAGACAGCAGCTTCAGAGGGTCGTGCAGATGCTGCCGCCCATCATGCCTCCTCCTGCTATTTCCCACAATGCATCAGGTGAAAGCGACAGGCACAAGATGGTTCCCAACATCCTATCTCCTCCTGCTGTATCCCACAATGCACCAGTGGAAAGGGACAGGCCCAAGACGGTTCCCAACATCCTGTCTCGCACTAAGAAACCAGCTGTGTTGCCGTGCTATCAGGCTATGTTCCCATTGGTCGGTTCTGCGTTGCCGGGGCAACAGTTTCTGACCTTCAGCCCAACGGTGCTGCAGACGTCTCCGTCACCAGGTAACCATCGATCTCTGTCACGCTGGTCTCTGCCGCGACATGCTTTTATTTTGAAGTAATACAATGTCTTCTTCCTGTCTGTAGGCGTGACATCAATCATCAACATCCCTGGTCAGGTGATCCATCTCCCCTCTCTGCCCCACCCCTCCACAGGTAACATTTACAGCCGCTATACCACCATAACACTAACTAACTAACTAACTTACCAAACAGGTAAATCGACTAACTAACCAAACAGTTAACTAAAAGCTCAAATGTACAAGTATCTCAACTAACCATCAAATACAAATTCATTTACTAATGTTCTCACCATACAGGTAAATCATTAACTCAATTAACTCACTCACTCACTACACAGGTAACTCAACAATTTGTTAACCACACAGGTAACTCAACTAGCTAACTACCTAACTAACCACACAGGTAACTCAACTAGCTAACTACCTAACTAACCACACAGGTAACTCAACTAGCTAACTACCTAACTAACCACACAGGTAACTCAACTAGCTAACTACCTAACTAACCACACAGGTAACTCAACTAGCTAACTACCTAACTAACCACACAGGTAACTCAACTAGCTAACTACCTAACTAACCACACAGGTAACTCAACTAGCTAACTACCTAACTAACCACACAGGTAACTCAACTAGCTAACTACCTAACTAACCACACAGGTAACTCAACTAGCTAACTACCTAACTAACCACACAGGTAACTCAACTAGCTAACTACCTAACTAACCACACAGGTAACTCAACTAGCTAACTACCTAACTAACCACACAGGTAACTCAACTAGCTAACTACCTAACTAACCACACAGGTAACTCAACTAGCTAACTACCTAACTAACCACACAGGTAACTAAACTAGCTAACTACCTAACTAACCACACAGGTAACTCAACTAGCGAACTACCTAACTAACCACACAGGTAACTCAACTAGCTAACTACCTAACTAACCACACAGGTAACTCAACTAGCTAACTACCTAACTAACCACACAGGTAACTCAACTAACTAACTTACTTACTACTTACATAGTTATCTCAGCTGACTAACTACACAGGTAACTCAACTAACCAACAAAACGTAACTAACCTAATAGTTTCTTAACTAAATAGCAACTTCGCAAATAAATAATTCACCAGTACAAATACCTTGAAACTAACTAATTTACATGCTATCATATTTTACTCATTTCTGACTCGTGAACTTATGAAAGTAATTTAGTTGTTTTCTGATCTTACATCCTGACACCAGCTGATCTTTTTTTTTATTACAGCTGGAGACTTAAACAACCTGCTTCATTTGGTTCCACCATCAACTGCAGAACACCAACAGATACTACAACAAATACAAGAACAATCACAACAACAGCAACAGATCCTACTACAACAAATGCTACAACAACAACAAGAAGAACCACACGAAAAAACACAAACTCCACCACCTCCCCAGAAAGTGGCTGAAATCCCCTCCTGATCCCAGATCCTCTCCGCCTCCACCCTCCAACCAGGGCCCGTCCTCCTCTCCCTGCCCAGGAAAGAGTGCTGATCCTGGGGCTGAGGTCCTGGGAATGAAGGGGTCTCTGGAGCAGCAGCAGAAAGACGAGGAGACAAAAGATGACGAGGGTCTGATGTCCCTCCTCAACGAGATCGACTTCCTCAACCAGCGGACCGTCACCACAGCATCAACAACAACCAGTGTCCTGTTACCGGGGTTGTCGTCAGGGGGCGGAGCCAAAGAGGAGAAAGCACCCGCCCTGAGCCCCTGGGCCCTAGAGCTGGACTCTGACTCTGAGGAGTCGACAACGACTGAAAACGCTAAAGGTGGAGGCCTGGCTCCGCCCCCTCTGCAGCAGATGAAAGTGGGCGGGGCTGAGAAAGTAATGGAACCCGCCAACAGCGATGGGGAAGAAGAAGAAGAAGGAGAAGAAGAAGAAGAAGAAGAAGAAGGAGGAGAAGAAGGAGGAGGAGGAGGCGGAGGCGTAGCCTGGAGGCCGATGCCAAGACTAGTTCCTCTGGGGCTGAGAGGAAACCCCCCCAGCTGATGATGTCACAGACTGATGATGATGTCACAGCAAAGTTGGTCATGGGTCGTCTGCAGGCTCCTCTGATTGGCTGTTAGAGTACGGTTTAGTTTCAGCAACAGTAGAGTGGTGAAATGATGACGTTAGCATTACAAGGGCTGCCTCGAAAGAAAAGCAATATTGCAGGAAATAAGATCTGTCGCTAACACATGTTTATGAAACGTACTCGTCTTGTTCAGCAGGATAATCTCCACAAACTAGCGTGATGACGTTTAGACATCTGAAATTCACCAGTGGGGTATTTACTGCGGTATATAGTCATAAACCAGTGTGGAAATCTGTTCAGCTTGTGTTAAGAAAATACCTTATTTCGTGCTTCTCAACAAAAACCTGTCTGAAAACCGTTGACTTCAAAAGGAGGTAGCCAGATGTTGTAAAAAGGCTGACTCATTTCCAGGGCTCATTCCTTGTTAGTGTTCTATGCAGCAGAAGCACCTGACACACCAGAGAGCCAATCGGAAGCCTGGCCTCCTGTAACCTTGGCGGCGATTCAGAACTTTTCACACGTCGTTAACAGACGATCAGATCTCAATGTCACCATATTTATGAATGTATCTCTTCACCTCCGTCCTCTTGCATTTCAGTTGACGCTCTGACTGGCAACGCACGGCAACCTTTAGGAGAAAGGTTGCCGAGTCATAGTTGCCATGACAGTTACTCTTGTGTCATCATAGGAGAAAAAGTTGCTATAAGACATTTTGAGTCGTTCAAACTCGTGAGTGATGTGTATAACAGTTGCAGTATTTTACTGAGCGCTAAGTTCAATAAGTGGAAATATTTTGAGGAAAATATCAATGTTATCAGAAACTGTTTACGATAGCACAGAAGGTGAAAAAAACATAACAATTATGCTATTTCTTCTTAAAATATTACAACTTTATTCTGAAATCTTGTTGTGTGTTACGATAGTCATTTAATTGAAAGATTGTCAAGACATATATTTCAGTTTCTTTGATCCGGTCATGGTCCCAAGACATTTCTTTTGAACATATAAACACAGGACCTGCTATGGGAATATCCTAAAGGAATTAAAAGAGTGACATTTCTTTATATTTGAAGAATAACAACACTAAGTCTGTTCACACAGCTGTACCTGCGCAGTGTTACCGGGACGATTAAAGGACCAGGCTGGTGTTTTATTGAACATCAGCTTTGTTGTATCTCGTTGTGTTTGTACAGTTGTTTCATTTGTTTTGAAATTTTTTATTTTTGTACGTGTTGAAAATAAACTTGGATGTAAATATACGTTCTCCATCGGAAGCGACTCGCAGCACATGATGCATACTCTGATATACCCTAAATAAAGTTTAAATACGAACTCCTGACGTCTCGTTTGTTTGTTTTATAAAAACCTTTGAGTAGAATTTACTGAGAAGAGCTGAAAACACTGCTTTTAGTTTGTAATGTACTTACTAGCCTCTGCGCTTTATCCTAACAGATTATTGTATGGAAGTAAAGAGAGGTTAAAATAGCTGTTTGTGCAGCTGAAATCTGATCAATCACTATCTTCCTTTCTTTCATTTACATACAGTATCTTAAAGGTCACCTATCATGCTATTTTTAGGCAATAGCATAGGTCTCAGATATATAAAAAACATGTGTTTTGCTCAAAATACCAAACAGATCACCCATTCTAGCCATGCCTCATATCCCTCTATTTCACTTCCTGTTTCAAAAGTGCTGATTTGGGGATAAAGCTTTAAAAAATAAAGAGGAGGGGTCTGAGCTCATGCGGGACCCGGCAGCTACTGTCTAAACTAAATGCTGCCGTGATGAAACGCCATATCATGGATTATCAAGGATTCTCTCTGAAACAGTTTGGAGCTCAAAGGCTTTCTCTCTTGCCGGTTATACCACAAGGTGAGTTCCTTTTTACTTCCTGCTTCTTCACACACATGCTCTCCAGTACAGGTTAGCTCTGAGTGTTAGCGATGCTAATGTAAACACCGGCCATATTACGTCCAAAACAGTCGTGCATTGTTTCTGATAGCAACGTTTCTGATTGGGCCGTGGGTCCACATTTCAGATATCATATCGGACGCAAATCTGGATCAGCTCCGTTGTTCCCCGTTTTTAGAGATTTGGGTACGGAGGAAAAGAGAGAGGGTTTTATTTTCTGACGCTGCGTGAGTTCCCTGACACACCGGGGACACATGTTTATGTATAAAATACATTAAGTGTATTTTGCATAATAGGAGACCTTTAAATGCATTGGTTTGACACATTTTCATGTTTTGCAATTTTTTCCATTGTATTGCTTTTGATTAATCTGTATGTATGCTCAAAACCTACAAGACGAAATTAAACAAATATAATTTAAAGATGATTCTGATTCTGAACACTTGTAGTTTCAAGCTGTAGTTTGTAGTTCTGCCGCTGGATGGCGCTGCTGCACACCATGTTCGCTACAGCGTCAAATGCGTCAATCTGGGTCAGATATGAAGACACCGGAAGTGACTTCACTGTGACTTCACTGTCAAAGTAAAAGTACGGTATTGGCGTGGAAACGGTTAAACTCAAAGGATAAGGTGTTGTTTAAATTACACTTACATTTAGAGAATAACGAACATATTGATCGTGTATATGTGTATATGAGGCTGCAGAGGTTATTCCAGATGATTTAAAAAATATTAACGGTTAGGTAAAGTAGCACAAACTTGTTTATTTTGTATTCCGAATCCTATGTGCATTTTATTTGTATTTAGTTTGTTTCCTTGTTATGATTTTATGTCAAAGTCGAAAAATATACTTATATGTACAGTATATAAAGAAAGACTGAAGTTATTCTCACCAAGCTACCGCTGAGCTACCAGTCCGAGATCTAGTGATCTATCTATCTATCTTTTATTTTTGAAAAGGCCGGGCGGAAGGGTTTGTGTCGCTGCCGCACGCGGTCTTGACGCTCTGCTCAGTCCGGTCTGTTGCTTGAAGCCGCTTCGCTTCGTGTCTTCGCCGCGGCGGAGGAATAGGATGCGGAGCAGGAGCGGAACCGCAGCCCGTGACCCGGATCAGCCCAGATTCAGAACCAGGACAGGCTGAACCCTCCTCTTCCGGCAGCATGACAGCAGTGGAGGACAGAGCGATACAGACAGGCTCCAGTAGCCGCTGACAGGGACAGTTAGCCGGGCAGCTAGCAGCGCGATGAGCGCGGCGGAGGGAAGCGGCACGATCCGCAGCCGCATCAAGAACCTGCTGCGCTCCCCGTCCATCAAACTGAGGCGGAGGAGCGGCGCGGCGCGGCACAAAGAGGACCTCAGCGACAAGGTACACACACACACACACACACACACACACACACACACACACACACACACACACACACACACACACACACACACACACACACACACACACACACACACACACACACACACACACACACACACACACACACACACACACACACACACACACACGAGCTCAGAACCCATGTATTGTATCAGATAGTCTGTCAGTGACATATTAATGTTGAACAAGGTGCGCACACACACACGTCCATATGTGTATAATATCCTTGTGAAGTATGCTGTATAATTTATGTTATTCCTGGTAGTATGGGGCAATTTCAAAATAACAGGTCATGGCAAAAATCATTGGATTTCAGGATATTATCCCAATACTCATCAAAATATGCTTAAACTTTTCGTCCTTTTAGTGCAAATTAAACTTAAACTTTAATGAGGGCATCATGAAGTCCCCCTGCATTCATAAAGCATTAATAATAAGGCAACATTGTGTAAGCCTGTTATTTCTTACATGATACATCCCATAAAACATGCTCTATTTTTTTAAGTAACTCAGGATGAAAATGTTCACGATCTGATGTTGGATTTTTTGTTTCCTTTTAATATATGCAAACATATGGGCAAGGAAAACAAGTTGCAACAGTACATACATGAAGGTCTCTTATATAAAACTGACTTCATTCAGAAAGTGTCATTAAACATCTAATGCCTCTGCTCCTCACATCATATTCACGTTCACACACACGCAGCACGACCGACTCCATCCAATAATACTGTTTCAGTATTTCATATTTAATGTGTGTGTGTGTGTATGTGTGTGTGTGTGTGTGTGTGTGTGTGATGTACTGGGTGCTGCATGGACATTAAGATGGGTATTCACACTCACTGCTTTCTGCTGTGTCGGCATATTTTAAACCCACACACACACGCACACACACAGGCATGCAGCAGTCCTCCGCAGTTTGTTCGATTCAGTTGGAGTCAATAAAGTTTCGAACATCCGGTCCATTTAAACATTTCAGTTTGGATTGTCCCGGTACTTTCAGTTTCTAACTTTAATACCAAAACTTGAATATTATTATTAGTTATAGTCAATAATATTGTTGATACTTTATGTGTCGATTCACACAGTATTGTTGGGATAAGATCTAAGAGAAAAAGAGAAATTCAAGTAAAAAAGGCAACGTTTTCTAGTATTTTCAAGTTAAAAACATCTCAAAATAAGGTTATTGCTACTCTTATAGGCTGGATGTTGTATGGAAGACTAACACTGCCATTATTTGAAAGATGTTGTCATTGAGTGCAGTCTTGCAGGTTCTCTGCTCAGTGAAACAGTAGTAACACACACACACACACACACACACACACACACACACACACACACACACACACACACACACACACACACACACACACACACACACACACACACACACACACACACACACACACACACACACACACACACACACAGAGAGAGCATCTTGTCTGTCAGGTTGTTCCTGTCTGTTTGTCCCTGCAGGGCTTCCATCCATCTGTCAGCAGCTTCAGTCAGTCAGCCTGTAAAAACTCCCACAATGCTTCGAGCTGTGTGTGTGTGTGTGTGTGTGTGTGTGTGTGTGTGTGTGTGTGTGTGTGTGTGTGTGTGTGTGTGTGTGTGTGCAGTCATGTAAACTAAGCTTAAGTGTGTTTTCACTTTGTGAGGACAGTTAGTCTGCAGTGGTTCACTCCTAAAGGGCTGCATGATAAAGAAAAGGGTCACCAGTTAATGACAAGAGAAGAAGAAAAACACCACTGTTTCATTTATTTATTATAGCTTCTTAAAAACCTGATTTATTTTTGAAACTCTGCTGGGTTTTAATTCAAAGTCTTAACAGAAACAAATATCAATGCATATATAGAAATATAAATACACATACACAAGCAAATACTTGACTAAAAAGGCAGTTTTTAAAAAAATGCATAAAACTGCTGACATATTAAAGTATAAGTACACAAAGGTATGCAGACTGTGTACGTGTTGGTATGCGGATGAATGTATTTGTGTTAAACCTGTAGTCCCGTAAATAAGGATGAATGTCTGTAAACGTTTCTGAGGATTAAGACTTAAGATTCTTCTTTCTGTGCATATGCAAACATGTATGTAACAATTATGGATAAGCGTCGTATGTTAACGTAATTCTGTTACAAAAGATCATTTTGTAAATGAATATTCATCAAATCTGAATATTACCTGCTGTGTAAATAAATCAGCTGATCATGTGACCCTTTGTCCAAATGCTAGACTTTTATTTTGTCAGTTGTCTTCTTTTATTTTGAAAAGTTTACATTATTTCTAAATGTCATTGTTCTTAGTAAAAACAAAACTGTCTAGCTTCCCCTCCCCCCTCAGTCTGCATGCCTGTGTGTGTGTGTGTGTGTGTGTGTGTGTGTGTGTGTGTGTGTGTGTGTGTGTGGTGTGTGTGTGTGTGTGTGTGTGTGTGTGTGTGTGTGTGTGTGTGTGTGTGTGTGTGTGTGTGTGTGTGTGTGTGTGTGTGTGTGTGTGTGTGTGTGTGTGTGTGTATACAGTAATGGTCTCCTCTGGGAAACACTTCACATCTCTTCAGTCTGACTCTTTGACCTCAAACATCTGAGGAACATCTGTGTACTAAAACTGCTGCAGGAGTACACGTAGTAACTGTACAATGTGTAGTACTATCTGTAGTATCCGTACAATGTGTAGTACTATCTGTAGTATCCGTACAATGTGTAGTACTATCCGTAGTAACTGTACAATGTGTAGTACTATCCGTAGTAACTGTACAATGTGTAGTACTATCTGTAGTAACTGTACAATGTGTAGTACTATCTGTAGTAACTGTACAATGTGTAGTACTATCTGTAGTCTCCTCACTTCCTTCTCCTTCCTCCTGCCTTCACTCACCTCCTTTCCTTGCATCAGTCCCACTCACGGTAGAAGGAGATGAGGAAAGTATGTGAGGATGGAGGAGAGTAAATAATAATCCTTGGTGCACATCTGTGTGTCACATGTGGAGGATTCAAAGAGATTGAAAGGCTTTAATTGTCGTATTCTCAATGATCTTCAAATAAGAATCTGAAGGCCAAGGCTCTTCTCACAATGCAACATGTGCTCTGTTGTGATTGGTCAACCGCTTAGAGATGTCCCGCCCCTTAGCCACGTAAGATGTGGTTGAGCGTTAGCCAATAGAAGCGTGAGTTTTCCGTAGTGATGTCACTATGTTCAAGAAGTACAAAGTGTGTCAAGTCAATAACGTTTTTTAAAGTGTATTCATTTACTTCATCGTCATGTGTTTGTAATGGTATAACTGAGTTTGTAAGAATGAGGAAAAGTCGGTAAATATAGTGTTTAAAAAAAAAGAAGACTGAAATACCGTGGTGTGTGTGTGTGTGTGTGTGTGTGTGTGTGTGTGTGTGTGTGTGTGTGTGTGTGTGTGTGTGTGTGTGTGGTGTGTGTGTGTGTGTGTGTGTGTGTGTGTGTGTGGTGTGTGTGTGTGTGTGGTGTGGTGGAAGAGACGGCGATATATTCAGTGTGTGACTCATCTCTGCTGAAACAAAGTCAGCTGGTGATTCATCTGAGAGTGTGTTTAACAGTTTAACGTGAGAGACACGAGAGGAAGAACCAGAGAAAACATAAATAGAGTTTGTGCAGAGGGAGGAGAATCATGTGAGAGGAACACACACACACACGTGTGCACACACACACACACACACAGTGCAGACTCTGTACTGCTGTTATTAGCTTAGCTTTTGCACCAAACCACAGCTGATTACACGCTAACATGCTAACAGCGGTCAGGAGAGGAAGACAGAACGTTAGACAGGACTATGTTTAGCTTGATGCAAAGTGAGGCATGCTGGGAAAAAAAGACACACTGATGATGGACTATACTTCAATCTGATTGGACAGGAGGGAATTATTTTAGCAGCACGGAGTGTGAAGTAAATGTGTGTTTGGATGTGTGCTGTGAACATTTCCAAGTAAAATCAGGTCTATTTAAAGCTTCAGTCAGGTGTGTGACTTCCTGTCTGCAGCTACGAGCCTATTGGTCACCACGCAAAACGTAAATGTATAAAACTGGACATCAATGGTCCAGTCAGCTGATTAAACTGGAAAAACAACAACTGAGCGACTCATTGGGAGCAATTTTGGGTACATTTTTATAAAGAATTAGAATTAGCTCAATTTCTATTAGTTTTATGGCAACACTTCTATCTTTCAAAATCTTTTTATTTGGTTTTTTGCAGACATGGCACCTTCGCACATTAAACAAAGTACAGAACAGTTTGTCTGTTAACAACACTTTGATCTAAATCTGCTAACAGAAATGGAATACATGATAAAGTTACAATCTCAAAACAACAACAAACATGCAGATATATTCACTTTAAATTAGCCAAACGTTTTAAATTAGGTGCTTCAATCTATTTGTGTGTGTGTGTGTGTGTGTGTGTGTGTGTGTGTGTGTGTGTGTGTGTGTGTGTGTGTGTGTGTGTGTGTGTGTGTGTGTGTGTGTGTGTGTGTGTGTGTGTGTGTGTGTGTGTGTGTGTGTGTACCTATGAGTTGGATGACATTGGGATGGTGGAAGTCCTTCATGTAGGCCGCCTCCTTCAGACACTGCTCGATGTCACATGATGAAGTGATGTCAGCTGGAGGAGGACACACACGCACACACACACATTAAGATATATGTTTTTTTATTTATTTATGGAAAGCCAAACTGCACCTGCTGCTACATTAATAACCAAAGAAGAAGAAACGGCAGACTCACATTTCAGCACTTTGACCGCCACCTTTAAGACGGACGAGTCCTCGGACTTCAGGAAGGCCTGCCGCACCGAGCCGAACTCACCTGCACATCAACACACACACCTTTATTACACACACTTTAATATCAGTTTTTTATTGTTCAGTTGTCTCTCTTCTGTTTGGATTCTACTTCTAATATTTTCAGACTTTTAAACCATTTAAAAAAACATGTCTTAGTGTGTTAATTGATTTCAGTTTAACAGATACATTATATACAAATAGCAATTTTTTGTTTTACGAACAAGGGAGCGAAAATGACAGCAAATGCATAAATAATTGTGTGTGTGTGTTGTGTTTTATGGCCAAGGTACAAGCGAACAACAAGTGGGTTTTTGGCAGAGGTGTAAACTCTCTGCAGGTTGAAGTAATGTATATAATAACGTTGATGTTTTCTGCGCCACAGGTGACCTTAGAGAAGGTTCTGGGTATCACAGCTCCGGGGAACCGAGCGTTGGCCTGCGACCCCCGAACTGGACTGTTGGCTTATCCTGCCGGGTGAGTGTGTGTGTGTGTCTGAGTCTATGAATGAGTGTACGGTCCCTTTACGATATATCGATGGAAATGTGCCCATCGTCAGAGACGTAGTTGTTTCTGCAGTGTTATCTGAGCGGTGACAGCAGATTAAGTGTTAATTGACGAGTACACATTAAACATCAATTAAGATGTTATCACTTAAAACGATTGAAAGGACAGAAAATCACTTCTTTCCAAGTACTGATATGAGCTGATTTGCATTAAGTGTATTTTTTATTTAAATGTAAGCACTGAAAGGAATAACGGTGTTTTTTTTTAAGGATTAACGTCAACAAATCAGGGAAGAAGCAGAACATTTTCGTCTATTTTGTCGAAAAGGAGTTGAAATGTAGGTTGAATCATGAAATAATTGAAACAAGAGGAGTTTATGTGCACTGTTGTGATAGTAAAAGTTGGTGTTAAAACAGTGAAATATGTTCATATAACAAGTACACTGGGATTCTGCAGTTCGACCTGTAGCTGAAGTGTGTGTGAATGTGTTATTGTACCTCATGTTTTCAGTTACAGAGGTGATTGAATGTAGAAAACTTCACACAGAGGATTAAACTGACACATGAGAGTAAAAAATATCCCCACAGACTTTAACTGACTATTCTGCGTCTCATGGTCGGGATTTTAAAGGCTAATGACATGATCAGATTATCAGATTAAACATATCATGGGTTTTAAAGAGGCTACACACACACACACTCACACACACACACACACACACACCACACTGGTCCTTTAAGAGCCATGGTACTGATAATTACCACGAGACTTCCGTCTGATGTGGTGTTGGGGAAAAGCAATGGGATTATTTGTATTGGATGTTGGAGTATTCCAGAAAATAAGATCTGTAGCAAACACACGTTTATGATACTTACATGTTTTGTTCAGCAGAATAATCTCCACTCTACTTTAAAGAGTCCTCTCCTGCTGATGTTCAGGTGTATATCAGTATGTAGTGTCTCTACTTTAAAGAGTCCTCTCCTGCTGATGTTCAGGTGTATATCAGTATGTATTGTCTCTACTTTAAAGAGTCCTCTCCTGCTGATGTTCAGGTGTATATCAGTATGTAGTGTCTCTACTTTAAAGAGTCCTCTCCTGCTGATGTTCAGGTGTATATCAGTATGTAGTGTCTCTACTTAAAGAGTCCTCTCCTGCTGATGTTCAGGTGTATATCAGTATGTAGTGTCTCTACTTTAAAGAGTCCTCTCCTGCTGATGTTCAGGTGTATATCAATATGTAGTGTCTCTACTTTAAAGAGTCCTCTCCTGCTGATGTTCAGGTGTATATCAGTATGTAGTGTCTCTACTTTAAAGAGTCCTCTCCTGCTGATGTTCAGGTGTATATCAGTATGTAGTGTCTCTACTTTAAAGAGTCCTCTCCTGCTGATGTTCAGGTGTATATCAGTATGTAGTGTCTCTACTTTAAGAGTCCCTCTCCTGCTGATGTTCAGGTGGTATATCAGTATGTAGAGTCTCTACTTTAAAGAGTCCTCTCCTGCTGATGTTCAGGTGTATATCAGTATGTAGTGTCTCTACTTTAAAGAGTCCTCTCCTGCTGATGTTCAGGTGTATATCAGTATGCAGTGTCTCTACTTTAAAGAGTCCTCTCTTAAAAACCTATATCAAACACACTATAAAACCATGAAAAGCAGAATAGGGACTCTTTAAAGCACCATTGGATCCACTAAAGGTTTCTCATGTTGCAGGGTGGAGCTCAGTCAACATAAAGGATTGTTGCTTCTGTATGCTGAGTAAATGTGTGTGGCTCTGTAAAGCTTAGGGAACTCGTGGTGTTTGTTAAGTGATTTTAAAGTTACATAAGAAAGATAATCTTGTTGTTGAGAGAAAGTCTCTGAAGGTTCGCTCCTCACCGGACAGACGCCTGTGTTCAGGAGTCACTCACAGGATTATTCACCAGAAGAAAACATATACAGAGTTTGAAATGAGAAACAGGACCTTTTGAGATGTTTGTTTACACACTAAACGGACTGATTAGGGTTTCTTTAAGGTCCTCAGACTGGAGGTCTTTGTCTTGGAGATGTTTGTTTCTTAAACATGGAGGTGTCAAGGAGTTTTCTTTCAGGCTATTCTTGTGGAATGTGAATCTCCATTTTAACACATTTAGTTTATTTGCAACAGTTACTGTTTTCTTATGGCGCATTTCCACTACACTGCCTCGCTCGGTTTGGCTAGGCCAGGCTCACTTTATGCTGCGTTTCCAACAGTTTAGTAGCTGGGGCAGTAACTATAGTAACGCAGTATAGGCGGAGCCGTGACGTCATCTTCAATGAGAACCCCAGAAAAACAACACAGCCGTTAGCTGTTAGCACTCAGAGCTCACAGCTCCTCATATCTGTTCAGAAACTTGACAGAAGTTAAACAAGTACAAACCACAGACTGCCTGTGTCATGGCGAATACAGTCGCTGCTTTATTTATGTCTGTATAGGCCGTTGTTGTGAGTGTGGACGGTCGGAGCATATACTGCGTTAGCTTAGCCAAGCTCCATTTAGAAAACACGCATTTTAAAAGGTTTTTGGTCTGCAGTCTTGTCAAAGCATTAATTCATGGTTTTTACTAACCGGTATCAGTATGTTGTTACTTCGGCGTCATTTAGAAACGTGTATTACAATTAAATCACGGTCAAATATGTTCATTTTGTTGTAGTTGTAGCCCCCTTGCCAGCGATTCTCTCTCTAGTTTAGCATATTCAGCCCGACTCAGCCTGGTTGTTGTTGGCCCGGAAAGAACCTCGATTTTATGGGGCCAGAAAAACTGTGAAATAGTACCCGCTAGCCGGAACTACGCCAAGTGGAAACGCAACCAAAAACGGGCCCCGCACGGCTCGGCGAGCTGTAGTGGAAATGCGCCATTAGAGACTTGTAAATACACTCTATCAAATTCTAGTGATACACAGAGGTGGGAGGAGTACTCAGATCTTGTCCTTGAGTAAAAGTAGAAGTACTCAGATCTTGAACTTGAGTAAAAGTAGAAGTACTCCGATCTTGTACTTGAGTAAAAGTAGAAGTACTCAGATCTTGTGCTTGAGTAAAAGTAGGAGTACTCAGATCTTGAACTTGAGTAAAAGTAGAAGTACTCAGATCTTGTACTTGAGTAAAAGTAGAAGTACTCAGATCTTGAACTTGAGTAAAAGTAGAAATACTCAGATATTGTACTTCAATATTCCAAGTATTGGTTCTTGCAGCTCTACATTACATGCAAGTATATAAGTAGTATAAATGGTGTAAGGAAGTATATACAATATGTATCTGTGTGGCAGTTTGTCAGGAGGAACTGCAGGTGTGTCTTCTTTGTTTATGCTAGCCGCTAATTCTGTTGTTTATCTAAATGTGTCCTGACTTCACAGCTCTGTGTTTACTGTGGAAAGTCATACTAATGGTAGAAATGTGACCCAGCACTGCTCTGTGAGGCGTTCAGTGGCGAGTCAGATCAGCGTTAGCAGCTCTGTGTGAAAACAGATCAGGATGTGGAGTCTCTGAGCTAAACCATCACACTCGACAGCATTGAGACGCTTCTCTGCAGCCTGTAAATAAGCCCCTGACCCCTGCAGATTATAAAGTAGCTTAATTTATGGCGATTTTCCACTGCAGGGCCTCGCTTGGCTTAGTACGGTATGGCTAGGCCTGGTTAGGCCTTGTTAGGCCAGGCTCACTTTCTGCTGCGTTTCCATTACAGTTTAGGAACTGGGGCGGTAATAATAATAATAATAATAATGGATTACATTTTTTAATTAGAGCGCTTTTACAGGTGCTTAAAGCGCTTTATAATTACATATTACACATATTAGACATGTAAATGTCAATACTGTGAACATTACCCACAGGAGCAAATGCGAGTAGAGTGTCTTGCCCAAGGACACAACGGCCTGACGCAGTGGCGGCCGAGGCGGGTTTCGAACTGGAGTCTCCAACGCCCCTTGATCTGATGATCAACGCGCCAAAACTACCCCAGTAACTATAGTAACGCAATGTAGGCGGAGCTGTGACGTCATCTACAACATGGGTTCCCAAAGTGGGGGTCGCGGGACTCCGAGTGGGGGTCGCGAGATGATTACAAAATAAAAATTGAAAATTAAAAATAATTAATTCACAGGTTTTACACCTCTTGTGAAAATATAGACTACATTTTATTGCGGAGTTGATGTCCAACAGACTCACAGATCAGGCCTGCATGGTCTGCCTACAAAACAAAAATAAAAAAACTTTATGCAGCCCAACAACAGCCTCTGATCATCAACAGACTTCATGCAATGCTTCATTGGATGCATATATTGTGGAAAATTAAGCCCCCCTGGCTCTGTTGTTGACAAAGAAAGAGTAAAAACCCACATAAATACAGGTTTGCAGTAGCGTGGCGTGGGGAAAACATTAGGGGAAGCCAATAATACGTCCTTTCTTTTGGTTCGGGGGTGTGGTGGTCAATGTAATAACGTAACCAGATGAGTGATTACAGCACCCGGTATCATTTTACACACATTTGCAGGACAGATGCAGGACTTACACACGCCTGTTATCTAACCGACAGGTCCGCACGCACTCTCCAGCCCAAACTCTAATAAGCATTCATTCACAAACTAAATCAGGAGACGTTTTACGTCCGATTCGCTCCTTTTTCCCTCGCTGTACACAGCTCCAGTTTGGGCATCGGCCTGTAATCAGATTGTATTTGTTGTTGCTGCTGTAGCGGAAGTTTAGTACAATTATTTGTTGATGAAATACTCCAAATCTCCACCCTCCATAATTGCACTTGCTTCAGTTGCTTGTTACTTTCTAAAGGCGGTGAGAGTGGTGCAGTGACGCTATCTATCTTCTATCGATTAGATTTATGATTAGAAAATTTTAAAAGTAGGGTAGACATGTGGATATTATCCGACTGAACAAAACGTGCATTTATCTAACAGGTTCGTTTTCCACTGACCTTATTTCGAGCTATTTTCCTAAATCCTATGGAGA